AGAGAGAGAGAGAGAGAGAGAGAGAGAGAGAGAGAGAGAGAGAGAGACAGAGAGCGCACACGCCAGAGGTATGGAGCTACTGGCCTAGGCCGGTCTACAGGAGTTGAGGTTACAATCCCTTCTTGCTCAGGGAAGCCAAGTTTCTTCTCATATAGTCTCTACTAGTAACAGCCATAGCTGCCCCTTCGACCTCTCTGGGCCTTCACCCCTTCCAGCCACCTCCCTGGTAGCCTTAGTATCCCACATCTGTGCTTCTCCCCCTCTTCTGGTACCCTCATCCTAGCACCGATGCCTCAGTGCGTCCTAGTCCCCCAGCAGACTGGTCCCCTGCAAGGAGACAGACGCGTGCTTCCTTCACAGTCCTGATGTCAGACACTTGTCACTCATATATGCAAAGTCAAGCACACCATGCTTCATGTCTTAGTCTAGCCAGCTTGCAGTGGCACCCATCTCGCTCCGTCCTTACCGCGGCCGGGGTAGAGAGACCGTTATCGCCCGGGTATTAGCTCTTCGGCTAAAGTTGCACCGATAGTGACAGCCATGTTGGAATCAGAAGGGAGGTCCACCAGCCTGTCCAAAAGTGCCTTCCCTCCCTGTTGCTTCTCTAGGAGAGGAAGGCTGAATGATGTCCTCGCCCCATTTGTACCCCTCAATCCTCCCTCTCTCTCTTTCCCTCCTCCCACTTTGTGCTTAGTGAAGGTGCAAGGAAGAGAAGTTAATTTGGAGGGGGAATGGACATAAGTGCCAAAAAATGTTCCCCCTCCCCTGGTCAGGGGAGACGACCAGTGATGGTCACACTGAGCTGAGATAGCTATGCAGCTGCCCCATTGTGGTCACAGTAAATGGGTGGGGGGTCGTCCTTAGTGTAGCAGGTGGACCTGCCACATGAGCTCTGTCTCTTAGGCATGGCGCACGAGGTGTTTAGTTTCTCAGCTTATAAAGTACAAGAAGGAGACACTCCCTCCATCACCCCCACTAGCTGTATCTGATGTCCACTTAGCCAGGCCTGCCACTCTATTGGCTCCTTGAGATCAAAGCCCAGGGTGGTTAGCACCTTTATGTATCCCGAACACCTGCCCGGGGCCAACCCTCCTGCCTAGACTTTGCAATACCAGTGTGCTACCTGCTTGATTGACCCAGATTTTATGGCGAGCGTCTACCTTAACTATACTGTACAATGCAAACCACTGTCTCAAACACCACACATCACACAACCTCAGATCTCCTTCAGACCACTGTGGGTCACAAACCTGATGGGAGCACATCTCCTAGTATTAAGTCCAGATAGTACTGTGTCTGGTGCACCTCATATTATCTGCAAGGGTTTTTTTTTTTTTTGTAGAGGACCACAACCTAGGTCACACATTGTGAAGGAGGCAGAGTTCTGTGGAATGAGAAGCAACATTGTTATGAACCGCCTGCATGCCGGGACAGGGTACCAGACACTCCACAGGAATCACCTTATGCCCTGCCCTGCTTTCTGAGCCCAGGCTTACCTTAAACCCATTTGGTAGTTGAGGATAACTTTGCACATCTGTTCCTTCTGCCTTCCTGAGTGCTGGGATTATAGCGGTGCACCCCCTCACCCAGGTTATGTGGTACTAGGGATTGAACCTAGCATTGTATTGTCTCTTGTTCAAGTCCCCCTCAGAAAGATTATTTTTGGGGGGTAGGGGTATCTCTAGCAAAGTGTGGATATCAAGTTTGTCTCCCCCTAGCCTAGAGCTGAAAGAGGGTGACACCTGCTCTGTCTGACTCCAAAGCTTTAGTTTGAATGACTTTGCTAACTGTGTGTTAGTGTCTCCAAGGGAATGTAGTATTCTGAAAAGCTTCTCTTCTTTCTTCCCTGGGAAGAAATGAAGTAGTTGTTGACATGTTCTCTTGTGGATTCCGACCTTGCAGGTCAGAGGATGTAGGGGCATGGCTACCTCGTTTAGATGAACTGAGAGCGTACTTTGCCCAGTGGAATGGCCCTCAATAGCTGAGCTGGTGCTTGCTTCTAAAACAGCCTATCTCGGACCTCAACGTATTCCTGACAGATCCCTGTGGCCCCTGGCCCACGGAGGGTCCAAGTGACCCGAGTTCCCTGTGGCATTTCCAAGCAGCAGAGGGCACACAGCATTTTCTGTCAATGTTGGGAAGGCCCATTGAGGACATTCAGACTCCTGAAAAGGATGCAGATAAGAACAGGGAGACGTGGGCTCCAGATCTGTGCCCTCGAGGGTACTGGCCCCACCCCAGCCCCCACTCCATGACCTCTGGGCTCTGTTCTGCCCTCCAGAGACCACAGACTAATGAGAACTGACTTCTCCTTTGGGACTAAGTACATATCAACAGATCTCAAATTTCCATTACAAGCCAGCCGTCCTTCCAAAGCCCCAAGCCTTCAATGGGGCACCCGACCCAGAAATTCCCTAGATCACTTCCTGCTGGCCCTAATTACCGGAGGACCTAGGATTTCCAGGGTTCCGGTCCCTGCTTCTGGGCAGAGAAGCAGGAACTTTTTCCAGGAAGGACACACCAAGAACTCTTGCCTGGGACAGAATGTTGTGTCTCCTACACTAGTCCTTCCAGCTTTTCCAACCCAGTCCTCTCAGCCACTCAGCTGGGCAATCCCCCATCCCCCGCAGAGAACAAAGATGGTGTTTCACTGACCCCTTGTAGTAGAGCCCTGGCCTCAAGTTAGGGAAACCCATTCATCTCCACAGCCTGCCGGGCCCTTTACTTGGCTACAGAGCTGACACTGAGGCCCCACCCGGACTCCTTCCAGACAGACCTCTTGCCAAATCCCTGTGCAACTTGTTCAACCAACAGTAAATCACCAATTAGGAAGCCACACCCCCCAGCCAAACTTGTACCATCCTGTCATCTCTAGAAAGCATGGGTCCTCCCACTAAGAAACTTCAAAGGACAGGGGACCTGTTGATACTGGGGGTAGGGAAACATGAAGGGGCTCTAGAAGCTAGGGCAGTCCTTCAAGGTCATTTAGTGAAGCCCCTTCCACCCATTTGTCTCCTGAGCCACAGTGACAGCGGTGTCCTCCCCCCACCTTCCCCCCCCCACCTGAGGCTTCTGTTCATTGTTTCTTGTCACTTATATTAAAGAGCCAGTATCCCCCCTCAAGGGAGGCTGACTGCCTGGGAGTCACATCCTTTGCCATCATTTTCTGGGCAGAGGGGCTATGACTCCTTTGGGACACTTGGAGCACCCACTTGCCTAGCCACAAGATGGTCCAGAGGAGTTGTGGAAAGCCCCTCTAGGATGCCCACTGGGAAGGCAGAGGCAGAGAGGATTCAGAACCATTCTGATAGGCCTGGATAGCTAAGATCCAAGCCACAGAGCCAAGTGTGGTACCCAGCCAGCAGGGCCAAGCTGAGCACAGTTCCACCTGTGCCTTTGGAACTGAAAACCTAGAGAGGGCAATAGAAGAGGAGGCCCTAGATCACACAGAGGCATGTCACAGCCTCAGTGAGTTGCTTTCCTTCACTCGTGGCCACGCCAGCCCCTGGGAGAATGTCTTGTATCCCGAAGGGTGCCTCACCACCCCATCCAGGAAGCAATGCTCTCTGGCCTATCCAGAGGTCAGACAGGGCAAGCCCCTAGGCTAGAGCTGAGCAGTGAGGCTAATGAGAGTGGAGAGAGCCCTGGTGTGGGGTCAGCCAGGCGCCCCTGCTTCCTGCCCAGCAAAAGGACAGGAGGGCAGCAAGTCCCGAGGCCAAGATCAACTAAGGGGGATGGGAGCAGGAATAGGGGAGACTCAGCCACCCTACAGAGGGCTCCTCCTAGACTTGTGTGTTTTACCAAAAGCTAAGACTACCTACAGAGAGCCCTTTTTCTGGAACTATGGACCCAGCATCTCCTCTCCAGTTCTGGCTAATCTGCCTCCTAAGAGCCATGTGGGCAGCCAGGGCAGGGCTGGGGGTGGTGGTGGTGGTGGTTATAGTCAGAGGGAGAGGTTGCAGGAGAATAGATCTAGACTGAGCTCACTGTACTGCACAGACTCAGAGAGGGAAACAGTCAAGCTGACACCTAGCCCAGCTCCGCACAAGGAGACAGGAGGGAGTTCAGAAACATTGCAGAAAGCTAAGAAACCAACAACAACAAAAACCAGGAGAAGAGAGACAAACCAAAGCCTCTGAGCTGCCAGGACCTCCCAAGGTAACTTCTTTCCAACATCCCTCCACACACCAGGGGACTCTGTCTGGGGACTTTTAGCTGGGTCAGCATGGTGGAGTCCAATGAACTGTTATCAGGGGACCTGCTTTTCTAGAGATGCGTGACACCTAGGCTCCTGAGGTGACTTTAAGACCACTGTGGCCAAGATGGCGAAGTTCAGAGTAGGTCCTCCTGCACCCTCTGCTGGCCACAGAGCAGACCTGCCTGTGCTGGCTGGACCCCTCAGGCACCCTGAGCAGGCCAGGGTGGAAGAGGATTTACTTGGTGTCTGGACATAACGACTGGGGCCTTCTGTAGAACTCAGGCACTTGGCTCTAGGAGGGTGAGCATGTTGTAAGGTCTGTCACAGACGGGTGTGAGCGTGTGTACAGATGCTGAGAGCAAAGTGGCTGAGGCAGGAGGATCCCGATCCTGTCGGGGCTACAAAGTGAGTTCAAGGTGAGCCTACACTGCTTGGTGAGAAGCCTGTCTCTGAATTAAAAGACAGCTCATGAAGTTGAAGTCAACAATTGCCTAGCATGCATGAAAGCCCTGGGTTGGATCACTAGGGGTTCAGGACACAGAGTGGTCCCTGCTGGGTGGGAGACCCAGCACCGGGACATGGGGACAGTAAAGCATCTCATGAAGGCATAAATATGGCTTTGCACTGAGGAAGTAGCAGAGAGCCATGAGCCATGAGTTAAGTGGCTAGCGTGTTTAAGAACACAGTGGTTTATCTGCACTCGGGACCTAGGATGGAGGCAGACTTCAGAGCACAGCATCCCCGAGTCTTTTATCTCTGGGCAGCGGAGACTGTGAGGTCGGGAGCCTCATTATCTCGCCACTGTGCTGGGGGACGAGACATGGAGACTCCAGTGAGGCGGGCTGAGCACGGAGGAAGAGGGTGGGAGTCACTCCAGCCTTTGTCTGGAGAAGGGAGGGCAAAGTCGTTCTCTGTGATAGCAGGGCTGAGTCTGGGCATACAGAGCATACAGGTCAGGTGGGAGTCCGTGAATCTGGGCTCTGGATAACCAGCAGCAGCAGCAGCAGCAGCAGCAGCAGCACAGCCGAGGCAGGCGACTACAGGCTGGCAGGACACTGCTGCATCTTTATACTGGGGTACCATGTGCATGAGGCGAGACAGTTGGAGTCTAGCCTTGACTCACACTCTGTCTGCCCCCTTTTGTCTCCTGTGACAATCGATGGTATGAGTGCCTTCCCAGTGCTCCTTCTTCCTGTAGATCTAGGATTGTAGGGGAGAGGAAGACATTGAACGTTAAGAGGGACAGAGTTGAGAGGCACACCTCCGCCCACAAATCCCAGGAAAGCCAGTGTGCTGCTGTGTCCAGCCCGGCAGGATCAGAAAGAAAAACGAACAGCTCACAAGCCCAGGGAGCTTGGGAAAAAGAGGCCCGTGGATGAAAGTAGAGAGAAGCTCATGTCTGGCCCAAGGCACTAAGTGCCATGTTAGCAAACCTAACTAAAAGTGGGGGTCAAAATGGGGCACAGGTGGGAGGAGACACCCATAGTAGTAGGTAGGTAGTCACATGGCTGTTCTTGCCACAGTCTGACTCAAGGCCCAGCATGGTGGAGGCAGGAGGGTTAGTTCATATAGAAAAGAAGGCTATCCCCTGACTAGGTTCTAACACCACTGGTGCATGGATATGTGTGCATGTGTGCGTGCTTGTGTGTGCGAGTGCGTGTGCGTGCTTGTTATTTTAAACCCTCCAACCCCATCTCTTTGTCTCTCTTCCTTTCTGCTCTACACCCATGACCTAGGACTTCCTGCAAGATGGTGTCACAGAAGTGAGGGAGTGGCCCATGTCACCCCTGCCATGACAGGGTCCTCGGAACTCACAGGACAGGGGCTTGATGCTCAGGCTCAGGCCCTAACTCTGAGTCTGGTCCTTTCCTCATGGTTTCTCTTGTTTCATTTTCCAGGGAGAGCGGGGCATGCCAGGAATGCCAGGCAAGCACGGAGCCAAGGTACCCATGCCTCTCCCAGCCTAGTCCTCTCCCCAACCCTGGGAATCTCCGTTCCTTCCTGGGCCCTTCCCTTCTCACAGCCTGTGGGGAACATGGGGGACACACTTCCTCCTTCAACCCTCTGCTTCCCGTATCTGTCCGTCCTTCCTGACATGAGCAGGTGGGGTAGTGTGATGTGGCTCCCATCGCATCCTGGCCTTTCTGGATCTTTCTGGATCATAAAATCCTTCTCGGCTATCAGCTCTAGTGTGATCCTGAAACACAAAGAAAATCTGAGAACTCTATGAGTCCCCATTATGGCTTTTCTAAGTGATGCTTTGAGCAACATTTTTACCTCGAAGTATGCGGTCTTGAAGGGGGGGGGTGGAAATGAATTTCATACACCAGATAATAGGAGTGCACACATGTAATCCTGGTACTTGGGAGGTGGAGGTAGAAGGATCAGGAGTTCAAGGCCATCCTGGAATGTATATCCAGTTCAAGGCCATCCTGTGCTACATGAGATCCCATCAAAAAAAAGGGAGGGGGTGGCTCAGCAAAGTGCTTACTGTGCAGCAGTGCAAGTGTGAGGACCTGAGTTCCAATCCCCAGCATCCACATAAATGAGACGGTGCGTGCTTATAATCCCAGCACTGGAAAGAAGAATCAGGAGGTTCCTGTGGGCTTGCTGTCAAGCCTGTCTAGACAATCAGTGCATCCTGGGATCAGTGAAAGACCCTGACTCCAAAAATAAGGTAGAAAGCAATGAAGGGCGAACCTGACCTTGACCTCTGGACTCCACCTGTGTATACATGGTTATATATCCCTGACCTCTGGACTCCACATGTGTATACATGGTTATATACCCCTGATCTCTGAACTCCACCTGTGTATACATGGTTATATACCCCTGATCTCTGAACTCCACCTGTGTATACATGGTTATATACCCCTACCAACACATGTGCATGCACACATATACCACATACAAGAAAAGAAGGGGTGGGGTTTACTCCCAGTTCATGAGGACAGGTCTGGAGAGCTGCATAGACATAACCCCACCTATCCGCAGGGGTGCACTCTGCTTTGCTGAAACCAACCCCTTCCTACAGTGTTACCTGCTAGTCCCCTTTGACCTCACTGTCTTAGAGTTTTATTGCTGTGAAGAGACCCCATGACCACGGCAGCTCTTACAAAGGAAAACATTTCATTGGGATTGGCTTAGAGGCTCAGTCCATTATCATCATGGCGGGAAGCAGGGTGGCACACAGGCAGACAGGGTGCTGGAGGAAGAGCTAAAAGTTCTACATCTTGATCTGAAGCCAGCCAGGAGAAGACTTGTCTTCTACAAGCAGCCAGGAAGAGGGCCTGGATCACACTGGCTAGACTTGTCCCCGCAGGTGCATGCATGCTTGCTTGCGTGTGCGTGTATGTGTGTGTAATGAATGAGACCTCAAGCCCTGCCTACACAGTGACAAGGCCACACCTCCTAATAGTGCCACTCAGCTTGTCTCATTCTCCCACACTCTGGGGAGTTGCCAGCTATCAGTCAGCAGAAATGAGTGGATCTTAAGGCCAGGCAGAGCTGGGCTGGCTCAGCCAGATAACCTCTGACCTCAGAGACCTTCATGCCTTTCTTTTCTCTACCAGGGGGTTCCTGGGATTGCCGTGGCTGGGATGAAGGTAGGTAAATCCTGTCACTGTGTCAGGGGCAGGATAAGAGGGTGTCAGGAAACCACGAAGCAGGGGCTTGGGCTCAACAGCATCGTAGCTGGATCAGGGGAAGATGTGTTTCAGCCAGGTCTCCAGACTCCACTCAGGGTCTCCCTCATCTGCCACTGAGAGAAGCCAGCTCTTTCCAAAGACTCTGAAAGCCAACATCCTTTCCCTGAACCCCTAATCAGGACATGGGGTACCCTGGCAGGACAGATGCCCAATGGTGATCTTTGCAGCAGCTCTGCTCACTGGGAGCACTGCCCCTGCTCACTGGGAGCACCACCCCTGAAGTGCTCCGAACCTTCCCATCCTTCTAGGGCAGTGTTTCTCAACCTGTGAGTTGTGACCCCCTTTGGAGAAGGGTTTAACAACCCTTTCACAGGGGTTGCCTGAGACCCCCCCTCGCAGAAAACACAGATACTTACATTACGATTCATAACACTAGCAAAACTGCAGTTGTGAAGTAGTAGCAAAACTTAATTTTATGGTTGGGGAGTCGGCACAACATGCAGAACTGTATTAAAGGACTGCGGCATTAGGAAGGTTGAGAACTGTTGGTCTAGGGGAAGAAATGAGACCCTCAGAAGTCTCTGTCCTGGGGTGTCCCCTAAGCAGAGGATGTACCTCTCTTGGAAGGCAGAGGGCCCTTGTTCCTGCTTTGTCTCTCTCTTTTCTTCACTGCTGTCTTCTTTCCCACACAGGGTGAGCCAGGGACGCCAGGAGCCAAGGTACTGGTGGAAAGGGAACACTGTGGGAGCCTTAGAGAAATGAGATTGGCTGGGGATGAGGCTCACAGGCATCACCATTTTGCTTCTGTTCCCCCCCTGGGGCCAGATGTGCATGCATGTGCTTGCATGTGTGTGTGCATGCATACATCTGTGTATGTTGGGGGAGCTGGCTGAGCCCTTTCATCAGGAGCACACTGCAAAGACTTGCCTCCTTTCTGGTGCTGCCCCTATGTATGGCAGCTGTGGGAGATGAAAGGGGGCAGGCACGACACAGTCCCCTGCTCTTACAAGTGTTTCTTCTTAGCTACAACAATAAAGGATGCAGAATAACAGAAATGTCAAACAAACTTGAAACAATGTTTCCATGGAGCCAGGCCAGGTAGCCCAGGCCTAGCATCTTGCCTACTTAAAGGTCTAAGGCAAGAAAATGGCGAATCACGTCAAGCCTGTTGGACTTAGCATGACCTTTTTCTCCAAGGAAATGGTGTAAAAGGGCCAGGGATATAGCTCAGTGGTAGTATACTTACCTGGCATGCAGGAGGCCTTAAGTTCAATCCCCGGAACACAGACTTATTTGATGCGAGCCTTGGAGGGCGGGGAAAGGGAATATTCTACATGTGTACTGGGAAACCCTTAAGATCATAGTAACATCTGTATATTCACCTGAACACCTCTGTTTAAAAGGAGCCTGAGAACAGCTGTCTGGGAACTCTGGCCTCTGACTGACCCTCGTCCTCCCTGCCCTGTCTGCCTGGCAGTGACTTTCTCCTCTTATCTCTAAGAGAGAGGCAGGGAAGCCAGGGCTCCTGGTGTGCTGGGAAAGAAAAACAGAGGCGAGGTCAGGCCACCTCAAGGGACACTGGTCCCCAGGGCTCTACCAGGTAGCTACTGTGCTGGATAGGCATGTTGTAGAAGAAAGGAATATGGCATGGACCAGCAAACCTGGGCACACACACCCTTCCGGAAGTCTTTGGCTCTCAGTGAAAAGCCAGGGGACCAGGCTCCTGCCTCAGCATCCTTGTTACCAAGCATCCCTGTAGGCGGGACCTGCATCTTCTGCTGTTGCTATTGGGGATGCCGTGCTAAAGCCCTCTCCAGGGGCAGCATTTTCCCCATCCTGACTCTACTCACCAGGCTCCTGCCTGGCTCTCTATCTGTCTCCTTACCTGTCTCCACGGCCATGTTACCAGGCAGCCTATACCCAAGGGCAAGTGACAGAGACATGATACCTTAAGTCGCTGTGGTACTGTTCATGGCTCCAGATGGAAAGACCATTGACGTTGTAGCCCCAGAACCCACAGATCATTTTCTTGAATGTAGGAATGGCATTCCCACACTCAGCACTGTGGAGGCAAGGGTTCTAACAGCAGCCCGGGTCAGACTCCCTGCTGGTGGGGTGCACTGGTCACTGCTGTGGACTGAATTGCCCCCTCCCAGCTTCATAGGCTGAAGCTCAGAGCCCCAAGGGGTCTGCCTTAGAGGGTAGGGCTTTTAGGGGATAACAGAGGTGAAGTGAGGTCACGTGAGGGAGACCCTAATCCGATGGTGTTGATGGCTTCACCAGCAGAAGAGAGATAGCATTCCTCTTTGACAAGTGAGATGGCTGACAGAAGGCAGCCGTCTACAAACCAGAAGAGCCCTTCCTTTGTCCCTGGCACAGGCGCCCAGATGGCAGACTGGCACTGTAAGAGACTGGGCCTCTGTTGTCTCAGCCACCCAGGTGTGGTACTTTGTGATGACACCAGTGCCGACTCATACACACCACTGCGGAGGCAAAGGGAGGGCTGTGCCCTCATAGGACGACTATGGCAGTCCTCAGTGAGACTGGCTCTGCCATTAGCTCAGCAAGGGTCCATCTGCTGCCACTTGGCTCATGGGGCAGGCTGGCTCTAGCTGTGAACAGAAGCTTGGGTTCACCCAACCCTTCCAAGACTCAGTGATTCCTGCCTTAGGGACCAATAGCTGAGTTCCTCGGTATAGGACAGGGCTGGAGCAGGGAGCGCTGCACCAGCGAGCCACAGACCGAGTGTACTGAACAGTAAGACTTTCATCCTCTCTCAGCTCCAGAGGCCAAAAGCCTGGTGGGGGAGGAGGGGAGCGCCATCTGAGGGCTTTGGCTGCTCGAGTGGTTTACGACCATCATCGTGTTCCCTCGGCTTGCAGAAGCCTGACCTCATCTGCTGCACATAGCCTCTGTGTGTCTGTGTGTCCGTCTGCTGCCGGTCTCCAGACTTCCCTGCTCTATAATGTCCTGGGAACACTGGGTTCTGTCGACTCCAGCAAGATCACTTTCATATTTGATCTTAACTAACCATCAATGACCTTGCTTCAAAAAAAAAGGAAAAAAGGTCATTTTTTTCTGACGTACTAGAAGTTAGGACTTCAACACCAAACTTTGCTGGAACAATATTTAGCTCACGACACAAATTTCTCAGAAAGGATGTCCTGGTGGATAGGTGCCATCCAAAGGCAGGAAGAGGTGAACGAAAGAGACAATGCACAATGCGGCGGGGTGGGGGGTGGGGGTGGGGGACAGACGTGAAGAAGAGCAGAGTGGAATCAAGGGGGAGTTCCCAAGCTCTTGCTTTCCAGACTGTTCTTTCCATACCCACTTCCAGCCTCACCTCCAACCCCGGGAGAGCAGGACTCAGCTGTGGACTGTGGCCAGTGTTTCTTCTCCATCCAGGGAGCCATGTGCTAAGAGGGTAGGGGTGCTGCCTCCCAGATGTCCTGATGAGGTTGTTCTTTAACCCTGTTCTCCCCGCTCCCTGCAGGGTGAGAAGGGCGCTGCAGGCTCCCCTGGCCTCCTGGGGCAGAAGGTAAGCGGACACACATTTAATGGTGGATGGTGGGCTCTCTGCTAGCCTCGGTGTCCTCTTGGACCTTCACACTCCCAGACTAGGGGAAAATGGCTGGCGTACACAGCAAGGCTGAGGCCACCCTTGAACTTGTGTTCCAAGCACTTTACTAAGTTATACCTGCTGAGGTTCCTTTATGTTATCATTAAAAGTTAAGTCATTTTTTTTAAAAAAGGCTTGGAGGTCCAATTATGTCTGGGGAGAGGTACATTAAAGGTCCCCCAGGAGAGCCAAGACCAGAGGCCATGAGAATTCAGGACTGAGGGGACAGGCAAAACTTGCTGTCACAGGGCATATTTTCTTTCCACACAGGAGTGCTCATTCCTTGAGAGCCCAGTGTAACTTGTGCCCCCGACCCCTGTGTCTCAATCACCAGTATTATGTTGGTCCCACAGCAGGGTTGACCCAGAAACACCCCCAGTTTCTCAGTGGCCTTTCTGTGGTCAGCCTGGTCTCAGGACTGCATCCTGACTGCTGCTCTGCTTCCTTGGACGGGAGTCAATCAACCAGCTCTCCCAGTTTGGGAAGCCAGTGATAGAACTCTACTTTCCATCCCCAGGGAGAAAAAGGTGATGCCGGCAATGCCATTGGAGGAGGCAAGGGAGAGCCTGGCCCCCCAGGGCTTCCTGGACCCCCTGGGCCAAAGGTGAGTTTTTGCTGGCATCTGCATCAAGAGACCTATGGAGCCCCAAAGAGGCACAGATAGCACCAGGAAAACAAGGGGCTAAGTGTGTTTCTGCCTTCCCAGCATCCTAGAGAAACAGCTCCAACCTAACCCAGCAGGGGCTGCGGAGTGGCCAGAGACAACCGTAGCAGCAGCACCACCACTCCATGCTGCCCCCTGGGCCTGGGGTCATAGGTCATGAGGTTGCCACAGCTTGGGTCTCAAGGGGGATGTAGGGATGCCTGGCCACCATGGGAAGGAGAGTTAGAAACTCTGGTCCACCTTCCAGGACCACCAAGGAAGTGCCAGGTTGACCATTACCTTCATTCTTCTCTCTGCACATCCTGTCCTGGACTCCTGGGGACTCTCTTCCCCCAATTCCCAGGGCCTGTGTCCTCTTCTGGTGCCCGGGCAGGCAGGACCTGGTATAGATGTCTTGCCAATGAACTCCTGGCTCTATAGCAGCTGACCAGGCTGCTCTCTGTGCCTTCACCTCATCTCTCTTCTTCCCAGGGAGAAGCTGGTGTCGATGGCCAGGCTGGGCCCCCAGGACAGCAAGGAGACAAGGTAAAATCCCCCACAGTCAGGAGCAGCAGGATGACAGTGACCTTGGGTGTTTAAACAGAGCTCAGAAAGCCAACCATCCCTAGTCTGACTGGACCCCAGAGCTGACCCCAGGCTAGCCAGCTACACTTCCTGCGTTCAGAGACAGTGGGCATGAAAAGCCTGTTTGGAGACTGGGACACTTAGCTGGCTTCTAGAAGCTTCCCACACCACAGATCTAGACAGAGAACTCCCTTCCGCCTCTACCTCCAACACAGGCACATGATAACCAAACTCCTGAGGTGGGAGGGCCCCAGGGCAGATCCTCGGAGGGACAGCGGCAGGGTCATCTGAGTCAGGCTGACAGAGCATTCAGTTTCCCTTCCTCTTTGACTTCGTGTATGAGTCGGGGTTCTCTAGAGTCACAGAACTTCTGAATATCTCTGTATATGAAAGGAGATTATTGAAAGGACAGTCTGTAGTCCAACTAACCCAACGACAGTCAGCTGTGAAGGGGAAGTCTAAGAATCTAGTAGTTGCTTACTCCCACAAGGCTGGGTGTTTCAGCTGGTCTTCTGCATAAGCCAGAATCCTGAAGAAGTAGGTTCCAACAGATGTGCCGGGAAGTAAGTGCAAGCAGGCAGAGAAGAGTGAATCTTCCTTGTACCATTGTCCTTATGTGGGCCTCCAGCAGAAGGAAAGGCCCAGATTAAAGGTGTGTACCACATGCCTGAACCTAAGCTGTTCTTTAGTTGGAACTTGCTCTGTCCCAGGCTGGCCTTGAACTCGGAGATCTGCTTACCTCTATCTCCCGGGATTAAAGCATGTACCACCATGCCTGGACCTAAGCTTTTCAAGGCCACATTCCTCAAGATCTGGATCAAAAGCCCATGTCTTCCAGCCTCAAGATGTGCTCTTCGTTTCTGGAGTGTAGTTCATTCCAGATACAGTCAAGGTGGCTCTGGGAATAGCCATCACAATGTGGTGTTTTGTCTTCAGAGTTCACATTATCCCAGAAAACTAAGATGTGTGGTTTGTACTTTGATTGATGATGCCACTAACCTGTTTCCACTCCAGCCCCTGGCCCACCCTCTAGCTGCTCCCTCCTGACACCCTTGACCTCTAGGTTGCACCCTGTGCTCCCTTTTGACCCAGGGAGAGTGGTTCCTGAAAGGACCACATGGGCTGCCTGTGGCCATCACTGAACAGCAGGCAGTGAGCCCTGCTGGCGGTACAGAACGGGAATCAGACGAACCAAGGGCTAGATCCCTACTACCAAGGATGAGACTGGTTTGGGGAACTGGGGAAAGGTGGCCAAGGGGACAGACAGGAGTCACCAACAACTAACGCAGTAGAAAAGAAGGGACAACATTAAGTGTAAAAGGAGTAGAAAGAACCCCAAGGATCTCAAACTCAGAGGAAGGAGAGTGAGGGCAGGTGTTAGGGATGTTTCTGGAAGGGAGAGGCACTGGCACCGAAACCAGCAGGAAAATTTGTTCTGGTGGCTTGAGCCAAGATAAATAAGCCCCTTGGCCTCTCTATGGCCCTTAGAGTATAGATCCCCCAAAGACACTGGGTGTTTTTGTATCCACTCTTACCAACCCATTTCACTGTTATCAATGCAACAGGGACAGCCAGGAGCAGCTGGGGAACAGGGACCCGCTGGCCCCAAGGTACGTTCATCTCCCACCTGGAGTTGTAGCATGAAGGGGCTTGACTCTGAGCTCTTAGAGGGGTGGGAAGGGAAGGGCGGGCTGGACCCTAGGAGGGATGTCTGCATGGCCATGGTGATTGGACTCCACCATCTCTGAGCCTGGCTAGTCCCATTTGGTCTGCAAAGCCTTGAGCATCTTGACGAATAGCCCTAGATGCTCTGCTACTCCGTGTCCTGGCAGGTACTGGTACCGCCACCATGGGCTTCGGGTCCTCAGGCCCCTCCTGTCCCAGGCTCTGGCTGAGACCTTCTCTGCTTTCTAGGGTTCCAAGGGTGAACCCGGCAAGGGAGAGTTGGTGGATTATAATGGGAGCATCAACGAGGCACTTCAGGTGAGTGGGCTCTCTACTCTGGAGGCTGGAGATCTGCAGGTTCCGCTGGACCTCAGCCTTTACCGCTTCTAGTTAAACTTCCAGACAAAGACTATCCCCCTTGCTTTCTATTAGCCTCTGTGGAGCTTCCAGGCAAATGGTCCCATTATTTGGCATCAAGTGGCTCGATGTCTTGTCCCATCTGGTTAATACGTGGGGCTCTAGCTAAGTCAAGTGCCATTGGAAGTACCCTGGTTTTCACAAAGTGCCACTTATCAAGGCTCTGGGGACACGCCACTCCTGGGCACCCCCCTTCACCTGGTAGGAGCTGCCTCCCTGAAAGGTGTCAGCTTTCTGTCAGTTTCTCCTGTCTCAGACTACGAGCCCTCATCTTTTAAACAGGTGCCTCGACCTTGGGCACAAGTCATTTGGATCATGGTGGTGGCCATGAGGCCACCCCATGTTCTGAAGGATTTTTTTCTTTTTTTCTTTTTTAAATATTATTTATTTAATGTATATGAGTACACTGTAGCTGTCTTCAGACACACCAGAAGAGGGCATCAGATCCCATTACAGATGGTTGTGAGCCTCCATGTGGTTGCTGGGAATTGAACTCAAGACCTCTGTAAGAGCAGTCAGTGCTCTTAACCACTGAGCCACCTCTCCAGCCCCTGAAGGATTTTTCTAGCAACGTCACAGACCTCTAGGCTGGCAGCACCCTGTTCTTAGTGAGGCCTGCCAGGCAGTTCCAGAGTTCCCCTTGAGGGCAAAACCACACCAGATTGGGAGTTGCTCCTTCAAACCATCCAAGTGTGTGAAGCTGTGTGGAGTGTGGGAGTCTCTGTTAGAGCCAAGGGGTCATCTGCCTGCTGAGCAGGGTTCTCTGGCTTCTGGGAGAAAAAGAAAGAAAAGGGGAAGCCCCCTTAGTGCCAAGGAAGAGAAGGGGTGCTGTGTCCTTCTGCCTGTGGCTAAGAAGTTGCACACCACAGTACGCAGGTCTAGGCTGACAAGAGTAGCCTGACAGCATCCAGCTTTGGTGTGACCTCATCCAGGTGCAAACCTTTGGGTGGTGTGGGAGTGACATAGGGCTGAGAGCCACAGAGTGCATCTGGGAGGGTCTTCCTCCACTCCACCCCTCCAGAGGGACATCACTGCAGAGGGGACCTGGCAGCTGGAGACTGTAGCTCTCCAGCTAATTGTACTGTATTGTTGTTTTCAGGAGATCAGGACGCTGGCCTTGATGGTAAGTCGCCCCCCTCCCTGGTTTCCCTCAGGCACTGGGCGTGGAGAGCACAATCTAGAGTTCTGACCTCTGGAAGGCCTGTGTTGAGCTCCTGAGCCATGCCAGGCAGAGGGGCCTCCAAGCCTGAGTAGGGGCAGGAGCCGCATGTCTCTGTATTGGAGCTATCTGCGGTGACAGCCCATCTACCAAGGCTCACTGGAGCACAACATGATCTCCGGGTTGTAGTTACAGAATCTCCAGAGGCACAGCCAGCCCCCCCACTTCTGAAAAAAAAATGGGTAACAGCTGTCTATGCAATCTCAGTATCTGTTCCTGGAAAAACCCTGGAATTCCATGCTGGGTTCTGCACATGTGCTGACCAGTGACAAACACGAAGAAAACATTTGTAGTTACAACAACTGTTTCCAACTTCAGCCTCCACAGTGAAGGGCAAAGGGATCCTAAAGTTCTGGTTTGGAGGGAGTCTCACTTCCTATAATATTGGGGACCTGTACACAGCAGGATGACACACAAGTGGCTCACATCCATAGTCCTCATAAGGCACTCATAAGGCAGAGGCAGGAAAGTCAGGAGGCAGAAGTAGGAGGGTCACCCCAAGTTCAAGGCCAATCTAGTCTATGTAGTGAGTTCTGGCCCAGCTAGAGCCACCTACAAGACCTTGTCTCAAAAAATAAACTATTTCCAGGGACATCTCATCCCTGGACACTGGTATAAACCACAAGGTTCTGGAACCAATGGACTTCATTTGGAAACATTAAAATATGTGATATTTAAAGGGCCATCAGGGTGAGGTCCCCACAGCTGTCAGTAATGTGCTTGCTGGACTTTTGAAAATGAGGATCCAAGTTTGATCACCAGAGCCCAAGTGTTGGGCCAAGGAGATAGCTCAGGAGGGAAAGGTGCTTACTGGGCAAACCTGGTGACCTGAATTTCATCCATGGAACTATGGGGGGAGGGGAAGAAATTCCATAAAGTTGTCTCTCTACATTAATGCTGTAGCTTGTGTGCATGCAGAAGTACACACACACACACACACACACACACACACACCTTTTTTTGAAGTCAGACATGGTGGCATAAACTTAAGAATGACCTCATATTCCCAGCTCTGGGGAGGAGGAGACAAGCTTTCCTGTTAGTTTGAGAAACCCTGAGGGTTTCTGGCCAGTCAGCCTAGCCTACTTGATGGACTCCAGGCCAATGAGAGACCCTGTCTCAACAACAACAACAAAACAAAACAACCCACCTAGCAAAGACACCTAGGCTTATACACATGCACCCACCCAGACACCCATCCCCCACCACAGTGGACACAGCAGCTGTTAGAAAGAAAAAGTTACCCGGAAGTAGCATATTTTCTGAGGTAGCTTACAGGAAAATGTACCAATTTCAATGTGTAGTGTCACTCAAGAGCCACAGAAAATTCCCCAGGAGCCATGAGAGTTGTCTTGCACTCACCCATCTTACACACACCATAAATGGCTTTCTGTCAGTGTAAAGCAGACTTGTGTTTTCTATAGTTTCACAGAATGGAATTACAGTGTAGGCATGTAACTCTGGTTTCTTTCCACAACATAATGTGCCTAATAATTGTTCCTGTCATTGCCTGGGTCAGAACTGGTACTTTCCCCTGCTTATTGGAATGCCATCATGTAGACAATTCGACCCTTACTGATACTTATGTTGTTGACTCTAACCTGCCAGGAAAAGTCACATTCTCTCTCTGTACTCCTAGAGAAAAAGCTGTTTGGCAAAGAGCTCTCTGTACCCCTAGCTACAACCCAACACCCCAGTGCTCGTCTATTTGCATGTTATTTGCTTTGTCAAGACCCCAGAGGCTTATGGGATATAGTACAGTTGGCTGAAATCTCATCTACTATGCACAGAACCCTAGGTTAATCTCCAGTACCACATAAAAGCAGGCATGTTGGTGCACATATGGAGCCCCAGTACTCAGGAGGTACAGGCAGTAGGATCAGAAGTTCAAAACCAGCCTCAACTATATAATGAGTTCAAGGCTGGTCTAGACTGTATGGGACCTTATCATTCAGACATACACATGCACACCACACACACACAACTGAGGAAATTCTGTTTGAAAGTGACTGACCCCTGTAAACCAGCCCCACATACAGCCCTCTGGTGACAGCCACTTCTCTTGCTAGGAAGTTCTTCCTTTCCTTTTTTAGGGGCCTCCTGGTCTTCCTGGACAAACAGGCCCGCCCGGACCTCCAGGGACTCCAGGCCAAAGGGTAAAACTTGCCCCAATGGAGGGTGGGAACTGGGGAAGTGCCTGCAGGGGACTGTTGGGCGGGAGCACGGACAGCGTAAGGTGTTTAAGATGCTGAAAGGATGAGACATTCTGAGCACATAACCCTAGGGCTGGCTCTCCATATTCTACGGCCCCTCATCTTCCCAGGACCATCACATTCGCCTGCCAGTCATTCCTCTCTGTACCTTAGGCCCATCCCCCCACTCCAGACCTCTTACTCCCAGCCTTAAGCACTCCCATAATTCCCCAGTAGTTAGACTTGGGTCTTGTGCTTCAGCGAATCCCTCAGATACAGTGAGATCTGGAACATACCCCTGGTCACAGCCACCAGACCAGGTTACACCTTTCCCACTCTGAACGGCCTCACTCTGTGCCTTTGCCATTATCTTAATCCTCCGCCCACCCTTTCCTCTGCTTTTCTTAGAAGAAACCTTGTGTTTTCCCCTCTGCCCTCTGCCTCTGAGAGCTTGCTCTCCTCCAGGTATCCTTCTCTAGAAAATCATTCCAGACACATCCAGCAGAACTGGAAGCCTCTGTTTCCACACCCTTGCCCACTCCACTCCTGATGTAATTGAGGAAGGTTGTGAGATTGCTGTAAAGTGGATAGGAGCCCTGTGTAGGCAGTGAGGACAGGATGGTTGGGCTAAGATGACCAGGAGCAATGGGATGTGTAATGCTCTCAGAGATGCCATGTTGAGACCATGGCTAAGACATGGTCACATGATGCTTGGCTCCCCTCACCACTTTACTTTGAGATCCTCATCCATGACACCAAGGCAACCAAAGGCGTGCCTTCCAGAAGCCCTGGGGGCAGGGTACCAAGGAAGTGGGCGTTGGTGTCTCTGTTCTAAACCATTTCTGTTGCCGCTGCTGCAGGGGGAGATTGGACTGCCAGGCCCTCCAGGACATGATGGGGACAAGGTAAGCAACAGTGTCTACAGCAAGGATTCTGCAAGGGGTTCTCACCCTGGGAGCTGGGCAGGAAGGCTAAGGAGCAGGCCCAGCAGGGCCAGGAAGAGGGGTTCCAGCTGTACCCTGGCAGAGCCAGCCTGGGGATATCTGTATCAGCTTTCATCCAGTACCAGTGAGCCCAGTCCTTGGACCACCAAGCTTTTTCTGATCTCCTTCCCTCCTCTTTTTTCCATTACTATCCCTAAGAAGTACCACTGATGTTTCTATAGGGGCCTCGAGGAAAGCCAGGAGATATGGGGCCCGCTGGTCCTCAAGGACCCCCAGGAAAGGATGGGCCTCCAGGAATGAAGGGAGAGGTCGGGCCCCCAGGAAGTCCAGGGGAGAAAGGAGAGACAGGACAAGCAGGCCCGCCGGTAAGTGTCTGGGTGTCTGGCATCCTGCATGCACCACCTCCATCCCAACCCAGCCTCTGCATGCCGCCAGCTGCTCCAGAGTTCAGAGAACCAAGAGTCGCTTGCAGCTACCTGCCATGCTGCTCACCTTATTAGGGCTGGTATCCTATAGTGTCCCCACTCAGGAGACCTCATCTGTGTCCTTGGGAAAGTCACTGTGCCTTGCAGGGCCTCAGTTTCTCATGGCCTGTGGGAAAGCCACAGGTGGGACTGTGAGCCTGCCTCTTCAGAAGCATGTGGAAGCCCTACATTAGAGGAGTTTGCATGAATGGAAAGAACTCCTTGCCCTTTCCAGCTAGGCTGCTGACTTAGCTGAGGAGTTTTCCCTGAGCCTCAGTAGTGCCGTCTGTGAAATGGCACCACCCTCGGATACTCACCCTTGGAGGAAGGGAGTTGAGCATGTATGCATGCCATAGGTGGCACATTTTCTCAGTATGCTGACTAGGAGCTTCACTGACAGAGCTCTTTGTCGATCTATAGGGTCTAGATGGCCCAACTGGGGAGAAAGGAGAACCAGGTGACGAAGGGAGACCTGGAGCGACAGGATTGCCTGGGCCCATCGGGCTTCCGGGATTCACAGTAAGGCGAGAGGACCGGGTGTCAAGGGTGTCCGTGGGCAGCCGCAGACGAGAGCCCCGGGACAAGGGGCTCCTCACTGGGGCCAACAGCCTAAGAGTAGCCAGCACCATACCAGGTTTACACTTACCTAGGACTGTCATCTGCCCTGGGCTCCTGATTGGGCCCAGAGCTCTACTCTCTTCAGTACACAGTGTGGTGGCTTCTATCTCCAGGTGCTACTTAGCTGGAGGGATGGACTCAGACTTGGAATTCCACCCCCCTTAGACCTAGAAAGAGACAGGCATGCATGCCACAGAGGGACACATTTCCTCAAGGGGTGTGCAGTTCAGCCAGCCTAGCCACAGCACTGAGCCCCAGGTCCCAAAAATGGGGAAAGAGCAATCAAACGAGGCAAGCAGCTGGGGAACACTTGAGGTTGACATCCTGCCTCTACCCACACCAACACACACACACACAGAAACACACCAACATGCCCACACATACCAGCATACCCGCACACACAAACACACCCCCACAGAAACAACACCTGTACAGAAAGACACCAACACAGAAACAACACCCATACAGAAACACACCAACCTCCCACACACCAACATGCCTATGCCTACACACCAACACACCCATACACACAAACACACCCTCACATCAACATACCAGCCACTCCCACACCAACACACCCACACACACAAACATACCCTCACACCAACATACACCTACAAAAACACACCAACCACATCCACACACCAACACACTCAGCAAACACATCCTCACAATATACCCCTATAAAAACACACCCACAGCCGGGCAGTGGTGACGCACGCCTTTAATCCCAGCACTTGGGAGGCAGAGGCAGGCGGATTTCTGAGTTCGAGGCCAGCCTGGTCTACAGAGTGAGTTCAGGACAGCTAGGGCTACACAGAGAAACCCTGTCTCGAAAAACCAAAAAAAAAAAAAAAAAAAAAAAAAGAAAACTAACAAAAAAAACCACCCCCACACAAACACACTCACACAAAAATACACCAAACACCCCCACACAAACACATCCACACACCAACATACAAACCACCCCTACACACAAGCACACCCCCACACCAACATACCCACACATACAAACACAAAAAATAAAAAAGAACCTCAGAGGTCAGATGCATGACTCAGTAGACCCCCGATAGTAGACTATCTACCCAGCTGGCTCAAGCCAGTTGGTGGTACATAGCCTTTGCATGTGCCTACTTTCCAGATGAAAGCTGAGCCTCTGGGTTGGGTGTGGTCTCTTCCTTATCCACCTCCACCACTGTCCCCACCCCCCAGGCTGTGAGATCTGAGCTATACTCACGTTCTAGCAGTATACCATAAACCTTCACAACAGCAGCTTAAGATGGCCCACCTTTATCACTGTATGTTCTGTGGCTCAGGAGCCTGCCATAGGTGGGGTCCCCAACCAGGGTCTCCTAAGGCCTCAGTCAAATCAGTGGTCATCTGTGTTCTTACTGGAGCCCATGATCCTCTCCCAAACCACATGCCATAGTAGGACCAAGTTCCCAAGCACCTACAGTCTGACACAAGGCCCTCCCTACAAGGGACAGTTCACCTCATATTAGCTTACTTCTTAAAGAAAGGGCCTTTCTAGTGTCTAGAACTAGCAAGACAGAGCCATGTGCATGCATGTGTCTACGTATGTGTATATCCACAAGTCTTAGCGTGTGTTATATTTTCCTATGTATAACACATGCATGTGATGATGTGTAACAGTCACAGGAGTAGCAGGCATCATGATGCCACAAAGTCCCTTTCGAGACTGAGAAACAAGTCACAGTACCACCCTGCAGCCTGTCAGCCACAAGACCCACAGTACTAACCCCCACACACACCAGAGCCTGAGATCTGCGAAGACAGTTGTCCCACGGCCATCTTAGTCTGCTGTCCTGCAGGCTGGCTACCTAGGTAGCCTCTCCAGGAGCAGTGCAGTACCTTGTAGCTTGTCACAGATATGAGGGTGAATCTGTGGCCAACCTCCTGGCTACCAGCTCTCACAGTGGGATGGTTTTGTCCCCACAGGGAGAGAAAGGAGAAGCTGGGGAGAAAGGTGACCCGGGAGCAGAGGTAGGTCAACCCAGCTCTTCTGTGTGCTTGTCTGACAAGGGCATCAGTAGAAATACCAATTTTTCTCCGAGTTGCTTAGCATCTATGACTGGCGAAAGCCAGAAACTGGGCAGCCTTCGGGTTCCAAGCCCCAGGGTCACGCAGTTTCTGCAGGACTCAGAGAACATCCTGGGGCTACAATAGACACAGGAAGATAAATACAATTGCCTGGCCCAAGCCACAGAGGTCGACACTGGGCAAGTTCTGAATAGACATGTAGGACTTTGTCATGAAGTGTCGGGGGTACGCTATCCCAAGAGGCAGGGTTCTTTGAGAGACACTGCGGGAAGGGGAGAAGATTGAGGAACAGGAAGTTGCTATGGACATGGGCTGTGCAGAAGATGGATAGCCCTATGTATATTTACACAGGGGAAGCAACAGAGATCTTGGACATGGGAAGGGAGGATGTTTGGTGAGAAGGCCTGGGCAGTCCGGTATCCACCGGAGAGCAAAGCAAGGGACCACCAAGTTTCGTAGTCCCCCATGAGCTCTCCTGGCCCGTCACCCTTTAATGTCACCAGCCCCGGCTGAATCAAGTAAAACGGACTTAATTGTATGCTACCACTGTTGCTTATTAAGAATGTGTTGCACCCTGAAGAGCTGATCCTAGATTCTGGAAAAGCATTAGACACACAAATGTTCCTCCCAGAAGTATTTCAAGTCCAAATTGGAAACAGACAGTGTCCCTAACAAGAAGGAAGGGATAAAAATCCTTAGGCTAATAAGCTAGTAGTAATAGCTTTGTCCATGGCTGAGGGCCTTTCTCATGCCAAGAGCGGCTTTCAGCCCTCTCCAAGTAGGCGGCTGCTCTCCTGCAGAGCGGCCAGTGTTTCCTCGAGGAAGGGGGCTCACAGAGGAACACACCCAAAAATAGAAAAATCAGTTTTACATCAACCAGAAAAGGCTAGAAAATCAAATTATATTTATGTATTCTTGTAAGTACGTAACTGGATTCAGCAGTAGCTGAGATGTCCAAAAAGCTAGGAGGAAACCAGGCAAAAAAAATATAAGCAGTCCTCTCAATTAAATATGACAGAAATACATTGCTTTTCCTCCTTTTCTCTTTCATTTATAAACAAAGTCTGTGTTAATTTTAAACATTTTAAGTTGCTAGATAGGTAAAATGGACTATGGGAGAGTATATAGATGTTTAAAACACATTAAAATAGCAGTTCTCATAAGCTGGATGTGGTGGCACATGCCTTTAATCCCAGCACTCCAGAGCAGAGGCAGGTGGATCTCTGTCAGTTCGAGGCCAGCCTGGTCTACAAACAAAGCCAGTTCTAAGACAGCCGGACAGGCAGGGCTGTTACACAGAGAAACTCTGTCTCAAAACAAAACAAAAAAACCAACCAAACAAAAGTACTTTAGTACTTTTGGCACTGTTTGTTTTTCTTGCTTTGTTCGGAAACACAGTCTCACTATGTGGCTCAGGCTGGCCTTGAACTCACAGAGATCTGCCTGTCTCCCTAGGGCATCACCATGTTCAGTGGAGTGTGGATTTCTATATGCGCCCTTACGATCAGAACTGTACCTTATTTATTTATAATAAGAACAGTATGTGTGTGTGCGTGTATCATGCATGTGTGAGTTCTGCTGGAGAGAAAATCTAGAGCTTTCATGCATGCTAGCCCAGTGCTCTACCACTAAGCTACAGCCCCAGTCCAAATGCCCTAGTTTCATTTCTGTTGCTGTGATTAAAAATACCCTGACCCCCTACCAAAAAAACAAAAACAAAACCAAAAACTTGGGGAAAAGATAGTTGGTTCCATTTAACTCCCAATTCCAGGCTTTGTCCACAGATGCAGGGAAGTCAGGGCGGCGGTAACCTGAATCCGCCAGTCACATCACATTCATAGTCAAGAGCAGAGGGCAATGCTCACTCACTCACTCAGCTTCCTTTCTCTACCCATGCAGTTCAGGTTCCCCAGCTTAGGGAATGGCGCTGCCCACAGTGGGCTGACTCTTCTCATATCAGTTAACTTATTAACCTTCCACAGTACGGTCCCAGGCCAACCCAAGGGAATAAGCCCTCACTGAGAACAAAGACTGTGTTCTCTACAAGGAGATCACATGGAGCAGAACCACCACAGTCCAAGGGACATTGGTGTTTTCTTACTCGACCTAAATCCCTTTTGCTGTACCTGCCCTCAAAGGAAATACAACCATCACTAGCCTATCCATTACAAACCTGGGGCAGAGCTAGTCTTAAAGAATATTCTTCAGGGACATCTCAGCCTCCTCTGGCTTCAGATAACCAGTCTCAGCTCCCTTAAGCCAAGGATCTCAAACTCGCATGTCTGCTGGGTCCAGGCAACAGATGAATGCTGAGAGGCCAGAGTTGAAGACAGCAGGGGGTGCATGGCACAAATCCAGTGCTAGCTAAGTGGTGTTCCAGGGCAACCTGGAGGAGTAGGTGATCTAGAAACATTTCCTGAAAATGTTTTCTGCTCAGCACTGTGGGATGCCAACAGTTTGCCCTGAGTTCCTGTCCTAAGTCTCCTATAGGGTGTGTACTGTCCTGATCTTCGGTGGCAAATCTCCTCCTGTGACCTTAGCTGGACCAGGACCTTAACAGAGCATAACACAACTTCCCTTTGGCTTCCAGGTTCCTGGGCCGCCAGGGCCAGAGGGTCCTCCAGGACCTCCGGTAAGTGTCAAGGACTCTGTAGCTTTTCAGCCTTTGTGGTTGGACCGACAGTGTCCCCTTCCTTGGCAGTCACTCAGATCAACCTCATCCTCCCCCCCCCATACTCCCACCCCAGAGAGATTTTCACTTCCAGAAAATCCCCCCCATACCTCATCCCTCTCACTGTAAACATGTCATCCCAGTAGGTGACACACCAAGGATCCCGGACACTGCCTGGTTGACTGGCATGGAAGCCACAGGCTTGCTCTGTCGTGCGCTCTGCTCAACATTTATTTAACCCTTTCTATCAGATGGTTGTCCTTACCCCTTCCTCCTTCCTCCTGTTACCAAGAGGATGCTTTTTAAAGAAAGTGGCCCATTAAAACTTTTCCAATTGGATGCGAACAGAAGGCCCCAGACAGCTGGAATGAGCGGGTGTTGGTCTGCGTCTCTTCATGGTCCATGATGCCTCTTACATTCTGGGTCATCCACTGTACTAGCAGTGATACTGAAAGTGGACACCATTTAATGAACGTTCCATGTCTCACATACTAAGTGCTTTGCATAGTTCCGTTCTCACTGATACCTCTCTCCTCTTCCCTTCATGAGACTCAGAGGGATTTTGTAACAACCCCTGGCTGGGCAGATGGTTCTGACTCCACCCCAGGAAGTCCAAGCTTAAACCACGCCCACATTCCCTTCTACCCCCTCAAGAGCTGAGACTCCACATTCCCGACCCTTGTTCGTCTGTGGTCACCTACACATGCCATTCTAATGTTCCTTGTTCTGATCCCAAACACAGGGCCTCCAAGGTGTTCCTGGACCAAAGGTAAGGAAAGGTCATGTGACAGATATTGTGGGTGGGACACACTTCTGAGACCTAGCTGATCCTTCTCCCTAAATGGCACCACCCCATAGGTGCAGCTAGGCCTTCAGGACAGAGTGAAGTCCAATAGTCCCTCTGACATCTACTACTGACACCTAACTTGCTTTGGGATGTGAAGTTCCCCATCTGCCTCTTGAATTCCTGGAGTGGCTTGCATACAAATGATCAGACTCTTGCCCCACCTCTCCAGACCCTTCCCTCACCCTAAGCATGGCAGGACGGCCACCCCTAGCCTTCAAGACCCCAGGGCAAAAGACGGCTGTCGGCAACAGACCCCTTCACTGACTCCTCCGAACGCCTTTTCCATGCAGGGAGAAGCAGGCCTAGATGGCAGTAAAGGAGAGAAGGGCTCCCAGGGAGAAAAAGGAGACCGGGGGCCTCTGGGATTGCCTGTAAGTACCTTGGAACCACTAGTCTGCTGAGCAGGGAGAAGAAACAGGGAGGACACCACTCTGCACCTAAAGTTCTGAGCATTCCCATGTGCTGGGTTCTTCCTTTCATAGTGGGGAAGGAGTTCAGGTCCACAGTGTCTTGCCCAAGCCTAGTTTTAGTGCTACAACCATGTGAAGCTAACTGAGGTAGAATCCACACCTGAGGAACAATCTGACCAATAACCAGAAAGGCCTGAGGCCAGCCGCAAGGCCTGCTGGTGTCTGACTTGAAACCATAAAGATGTGCTCTGAGGGGGTAAGCAGAGAAGACTTGAGGTTGTTGGTGCCATGAAGGTGGGCAATAGCTAGTCTCCTCTCCCCTATGTCCCCTGAATAACCCCATGGGAGACCTTAGCTCTGTTCTCATGGGAGTCACAGCACTCAGGCATGTTCAGAGTCAGCCCTGTGGTCCTGGCAGGCTGAAGCTCCTCCCACAGCCCTGTGCTCTGACCCTTCCAGAGCCGGAGGCCCCCTCATCAGCATCTGAGGGCTGCTTCCAAGCTTCTGCTTGTCTAGAGGTATAGCTGACTGAGTCTCCGTTGCATCCTCCCGGTGGCCTGGTAGCTCTCATCAGCAAACAAACCATCTTCTCATTTGCTGGCAGTCACTTGAGGCCACAGATGGTTAGTGGTCAGACTGAGCCTGAAGGTTGCTCATCCATTGAAACTACAGGGGCCGCTTCCTCTGTCTCCAGCTTCAGGCCAGTCCCTAACCCCAGGCAGCTGTAAACAGCAGAGGAACCATGGGAAACCAATACGGTCACAGCAAACACACAGCCAAGGCCAAAGGGACAGTTTCTCTCTCACGGGTGCCGGCGAGCGTAGGAAGCGCTGAGGAGCTGACTTGCTCGACAGACCACGGAAAAGTGATGGCTTTAGCAGATGTTTTCCCACATCAGAAGCCGTTGTCTGGAATGACTTAAGTACACACGGAAGCACCTTCCCGACCCCTTCAACCACAGGTCACCTATTGTGCACCTTCATGGCGCCAACAACCCCAATAAATATGAGAGGCTTCAGTTAGAGATACCCAGGCAAGTAACCCAGCAAAACCTACAAAACGAACAAAAAACCATAAGCGGATTCCTAGAAGGCAGTTCATGAGGCCTTTATGGGAAGCAGTTGAGATTGGCAGTGATTGTGGTACCCTGGAGATCACCTAACCCTTCCCAGGGGAAGCAATCTCTTAGCTTAGGAGACCTTATACCTTGGAGGGGAGAAGAGCCCAGCAAGTTTGAATCTTTTCAGCTGGATGCCTGGCATTTTATAGGCAGTTGCCCCATCTCCTGGGTGGGTATTGATGCCAGTGGCTCACCAAGGGTGAGAGTGCTTTGGTCCATGCCCCCTGACTCAAACCCCTCAAGCGCATTTGGTAGCAACATTGTATCTACAAAACCCACGGCTGTTCAGCTCCAGGCTGCTTCTAGGCTGCACCTGGGTGTCAGCATCTATGTGGTAGCAGGTAGCAGCCTCATCTCCAGGCCTGTCCTGCCGACATGCCCCTCCCCTAACCCATTTAGCCAGTACACTGTGGAGCCTGCTGGGAGCTTTCCAAACGTGCCTTGACCTGGGCCCCCTACTCTTGGAGAGTTATGCAACTGAGCCAGCATGGGCATCTGTATTGTGAACAGAACCCCAGGAGAGACGGCATGAGTGCAGAGTTCAGCCCCTCAGCTCTAGTTTTGGGGTCAAAGTCAGTTCCCAAATCTGTGGTCTCAACGCTGCGAACAAGGTCACCTGAGCCCTGGAGCCGCATCCTACCTAATAATACCCTTTCCCAAGGATGAGCGCCAGGCACTCCGTCTTCCGGTCTCTCCCCTCACCTACCCAACCCTGAGGCTGGTTTCTGAGTCTCAGTTGGAAGCAGTTTTCAAGAGGTCCATGCTTGCTGGCTAGGTGTACTCTGCTGCCAACCCCAGAGGCCACTTTAGAGCCTAGCACTAGGAAAAAAGTCCCCATTGCCACCAAGTGCTTCATTGGTCAGCAGGGAATGGGGAGGCCACAGGGCACGCAGGCTGAGTATGTCACAGATTGGCAGCTGTAGACCTCCTGCTAGCTTCTAAGCCTCTCTCTGTTGGTCAGAGGACACATGCGAGTGGACTAAGTTTGTGTGTGAACTGTAAACTGCCAGCGAAATGTCAAGCGTGGTCAGTATCATCATTCGAGGGCTAGTTCTGCCTGCCCAGATGGAGCAGAACTGAGTCCACTTCTACTAGGGTTTAGAGCTAGTGCTGGGGTCAGCGAGAGGGGTAAGTGGGTAAGAAGTACTTGCTGCTGAGCCTACAAACCCGAGTTCAGTTTCTGGAACCCACATGGTAGGAGAGAACCAACTCCTGTCAATTGTATACACACACACACACACACACACACATACACAAGCAATTCCAATTACTCCTAAGGCTTATAAGGTACAGAATGGCCTATCTCTATAGGGGTGCAAAAGATAGCACCCCTCCAGGAGCCCCTCTGTGCAGGAGGGAACATAGCTCTGGATTCCACTCCAGGAATCCCTTTCTGCGCCCCCTTCCTGGAGCACTGAAGCACCCTGGGAAGGGCGGTTCTTGTGAGGTGAAGGGACAGAAGGGGACAGGAGCTGTGGAGAGTCAGAGCATCTGTCCTCTGTGGTTCACGCCAACTCAGCAGCCAACCACAGCCCTCGGTGTCTCCGTGTTCCTTTCCGTCTCCGTGTAAACACACCCACTGTCCTCACCCGTTGTTGTTTATGGCATTTGTGTCTGTCTGGAGTCACCGCTTTACTCACCTCCCCTCCCCCATTGTCTCCTTTTTCTCCTCCCCTCCCATCCCTTTCTTTTGGTCAAACTGTGCCCTTCGTCCAGGGAGCTTCAGGTTTGGACGGCAGGCCTGGGCCACCGGTGAGTGTCATTACTCTATCGCCCCACCCCCTACCCCATCCCTGTCCGGCCTATGACTCCTCTTGTCTATCCTGCTGTGGCCTTGTTCGCTCCCCACCCCGACCCCTGCAGTGATAGGGACTGTGTTTTGTCCAGCCTTAGAGTCCCCTCTATGTCCACATCAGAAATGCCCTTTCAGCCATCTTGGCGGCCACCACGGATGAGCACTCAGGGACCCCAGGACATGCCAAGCACGGGGCAGTAAAAGTCACTCTAGCAACAGTGACCCTGATACTGAGACCAGCCTGGGAACCCTACCCTGGGGCTTGAGCCAAGATGTGTCCCTGGCAAACACAAGTGTCTGTGTGTGACCTTCACGCTGTACTGTTGTCATACTGTGACGTCTGTCCATCTCCTGTCTGCCTGTGAGCCTCCCAGTCATATGGAGTCACCCTTCCCAGAGTGTTTGCGCGGAGCATAGAAGGGTCAGTTGGGAGCCACATGTAGGAGCCTGTATCAGCTCAGTGTCCTGTGGGTGTGTTTGAACCACATCTTTCACAGTGGGTGGCATCCATGCCACCCTGGAAGCACAATAAAGGGTCCATGACAGAGCAGCTGAAAGACACCCAGACCCTCTATTACTCTGCCCCTCCTGATTCCAGACAAGAGTTCTCGCTATCGCAAATCCCTGAAGGGCCACAGGAAACGCCCCTCCACTTTACCTGCACCGAACACCCTGTGGAGTTGCCAGCATTGGTTCTGGGGTCAGGGCACAGGATTTCCCAGCTTGGAAGCCATGCCAGGGCTGTATGCCTGGCTCCTTGTAGCCAATCAGCTATGTCTTGATGACTGGTTCTAAGGTCCATTACCCAGGAGTCAAGGCGATTATTAGCTTCCTGAAGTGCCACATGGGAGAGAAGAAATTCAGACAGGTTGTGGGACGGGGCCTAGAACTCTCAGAAGCAGGAGAACGCCCAGGTGACAGTGCAGAGCATCATCTTACCGAATGCCAGTTCTGTCTCCTGGTAAGAGCAAGCCACGGAGCAGCCTGTCCTGACCGTCACTGGAGGTCACGTCCAGCATTTGCATTTTTATCCATGGAGGCCTTGAGACAGATTCCTTAGTTGATCTTCTAGACTTACAGAGGGGAACCGAAGCCCGGGTCAGTCTGTGGAGGCCTTTCAGGTCTGAGGAGTCTGGGCAGTGGAGGCCGGGAGCCTGCCCAAGGCCTGCTCTGAGTGAGCTGCCACTGTGGTCCCAATTCTATTCTCTTCCTCTTCACTGCACAGAGGACACAAAGAACCTCTCCTGGCTCTGTTTGTTTTCTGTGACAATAATCTGCATTTTCCCATATACTAATGTCCTGTTATCCCCAGCCATGCTCAGAGTACCAGACAGCATCCCGTAGGCCCAGCCCCACAGTCTGATCCGAGTAGAGACATGTAAATACTGACAGGCCAATAGACAGGAGGCTGGGAAATAGAGGTTTGGTCTAGTTTGGATGTGCAGATGGGAGCCTGGGAGAAATGCTTGCTGAGTCTGTAGCAAGCCCAGCTCTGCCTCCCAAGTAAACACCAGCGTACCACAGCGCCTCCCAGCTCCCTGGGACCCTCAAGTTAGGACAGAACCTGCTCCTACTCTCTGAAGGCCAGTGTGGCTCTGACATTGGAGGATACTAACTCATGACCCTGTCCCTCAAGCCTGGGAACCTGTGGGGTCTGCAGTGGGTTGGGGGAGGGGTGCTGGATGGCCCTCTCACGCCTGCCTCTAAATGTGTCTCTGCGGCAGTCTCTGTGGCATGAAGACCCTCCCGCTGCATGTGGAGCTGTGACAGCAAGGGGGTGCCGGCCCTAAGTCCCCCCACTCCTGGGATGGGGTCACCTCCCTCTCCAGTGCTTGTTGGTGGCAAACTAAGCTACCATTCTTCTGGTTTCAGCCTTGGCAGGCTCGGCTGCGATGTATCTGGCTCTGAGGATGGGGAAGGAACTCTTCTTCAAGGTCCCTAAATCCAAAATGGATCCTGGCCCAGGCAAACGGCCTCCTTGAACGAAGCCTGGCTTTGCCAATCCTGAAAACCGGGGCTCAGGCTTTGCACATCTTCAGTGGTGCATCCCATCTGGGTGGGACTCTTGGGGCCTCCCCAAGCAAATGGCCCTTTACCTCTGCTTTCTTCCACCTCCTCAGGGTACTCCAGGACCAATCGGGGTTCCAGGCCCAGCTGGACCAAAGGGCGAAAGGGTGAGTGTTCTGTGAACTGGGAGCTTGGGAAACCAGGAGGGGGGATTACACCAGGCTTGCTGATCCCTTGTGCCTGGGACACAGCCTCGGGGTCCTCCTCTCCTTCACTCATGGTTGCCCTCATAGCAGCCTGGAGGAGAGGAACCCCCTTGGGGAGATGGAGGCTTAGGTGAGATGGAAAAGCTCCCTCTCCTTGCTTGGCAAGGTGTCACTCAAGGATACAGGTCTGTGATGCTCATTTAAAGAAACAGTATGGAACAGAAGGGGATTTAGAATGTCCCCAGAGGACACCCATAAGTCAGAAAGTCAGGGTGTTGGGCAGAGTTCTCACCATTAGTGTTGAGTAGCCATGGCCAAGTCACAGGGTATTGGAAGTCCGACCGCACCCCCTCACAGAATGGGTGGGTAAGAGGATGAAGCAGGAATCAGCCCGGTATGGGAGGATTCTGTTCCCCTCTGCCAGCCAGGTTCCCCCACACCCAGCAGGATCAGTCATCCCTAGTGAGGCTCCACGCTGATCCACCCCCACCGAGCATCTGTGACCATTCTCTGGCTGTCCACACCTCCTCCCTCTGCCCTCTGCTATCCCAAGAGAGGCTTGTGGTGGGGAAGCGGGTGGCTTCTACAGAGATCGAGAGCCTCTCTGAGATCACAGGTCCCCCGGGGAAAACCAGGATAGCCACTCCAGGATGACGACACGGGCTTCAGAGAAGAAATCAAAGCTCTTCTCTTGCTATCTCTGGGCCCACTGTCTGGTCTTCTCGTGCTGCCTAGTCCTGTGAGGAAGCAGGCTGTACAGGCCAACAGAAGGACCCTTAGACCACACTGTGCCTCTCACACACTTCAGTTCCCTAGGGCTCCTGCAAGGGTCCACAGAGATTTTCCATTTTCCCATAGGGAATAGAAAGTGGGAAGGGAATCAACATGGCGGGCAGGGCTCACAGGGCATCTTTCTCTCTTTCAGGGCAGCAAAGGCGACCCAGGGATGACGGGACCAACGGGAGCAGCTGGGCTGCCTGTGAGTCTACAGGAACTAGAACACCCTGCTTCCCCTCCATCCCTCTCTCTAGAAGCAGAATCAAAGCACACAGCCCACATTCTGGAACCCATACGTGGGGCTGAAGGAGACGCTACCCAGAACTAACTAGGGATGAGCTAGAAGTTCCTGAGGGGCATTGCAGGGGACACATGCTCATCACAGGGACCATCACATGTGTAACAGCACATCTGGAACCTTCCACCGTAGCCCGTGTGCTGTGCAGTGGGGTCCCAAGTGGCTATGCCTCCACTTCTGCCATCCAGGATAGACAGCCTCAGATCCAGATCCCCCACAACCCAGAAAGGAGGTTCTGGCCTTGAAGCCTGAGCTTGGTTTTCCATCTGCAGTGCATTTGCCTGTAGCTTTGTTACAGAAGCCAAGCAGCTGTCTCACGGAGCCTGGATTTTTTTTCCCATCCACCCAAGGTTCATGTGTAGAGTGACTGAATAAGTGTATCTGTACCAGTCCACGCTTAACACTTATTCCCGTAGGGTATTCTGTACCTTAAAAGATGCTCGAAGGCACCGTGAATCCAGGGCCTGGCGAGATAGCCATGCATCCCAGAGTAGCCCATGCCCACCCCTGAACACAGCATAAAACTCACCCCTCACCCCATGAATAGTTCCCAGAAGAACACAGCTACCAGGCAGGACATGGGCTACATGCAGTGTAAGAAAATGAGAACCATGGGTTTGCTCATCAATCCAGTGTGCCTCTTGGTCAAATTCCTTGCTGTATTGGCTTCTCCTGCCCTTCTGTAAAATGGGAGTAATGAAACCCATCTCCACTGAACTGAAGCTCGTCAGCGACATTAAAGGAAGGACCGTACGGCCGTTTTCATGTTCCCTCATTAACACGTCTTCCTTTCTCTGATTTAACGCAGGGTTTACATGGACCACCCGGGGACAAAGGAAACCGGGTAAGTCTGAGCCCTCGCTCGCTTGCACTCTGGATCTGGTTACTAATGTCTTCATGATGGGACGGAATGATCAGTTGGAGACTCCTGACCTAACAGGACAAATAGTCTTTCCCTATAAATCATCCTAAATTGAAAGGCTTTCTAGCGAGGGGCTCCATGCCATACATGCAGGGAGCCTGAGGCCCAGCACTGCGGTTGAAGCCAGTATTTCTCCTCGTTACCAGCGATGGCCGAATGAATCCCTCGGCAGCCATCAGATTAGCACGGTCATCCAGTAACAGGAGCCTCTTGTCCAGCCGGCTCTACGTTGCCCTGATAACCGGCCCCTTAGTGATATTTTTAGATCTATTGTCACCTCATCTTTGCCCTCCTGAAACTGAGATTTGTCAGGCATTCCAGGCCACTGGCGACTGGGAAAATAAATTCCAGCTCTGAGAACAGCCAGCCAAGCCCTTTAAAAAAAAAAAAAAGAGAGAGAGAGAGAGAGAGTGTATCCCAGCTGCTGCTTCTTTTGGAGACTTGGCAGGGAACAGAATGGACTGCACCCTCCAAATCCTCCCTCCTCCCCTTGGCTCCTGTGGTCCTTAGAAGAATGCATTAAGTGTCCCTAGCACCGTAGGCGTGTAATGATCATGGCCATTTGGGTCCAGCAGCAATAATCTAACTACATCTGGCCAAGAGATAGCCCTTTCCATCACCTCCTCCAATGCCTGTCTGTGTGCAATGCACACGCCTTAGGTAATGGTTCTCAACCTGTGGGCTGAGCCGGTTTGGAGGTCACATGACCCTTTCAGAGGGGTCATCTCGGATCAACAGAAAATACATACTCACATGATTCTCAACAGTAGCAAACGAAAGGGGGAGAAACAAAAATAATTTTATGGCTAGCGGTCACCTCGACATGAAGGACCGTATGAAAGGGCCGTGTGGCAGTGGTCAGAACACGCTGCAGGAACAGAAGACATCAGAATCCGTATGCTTCTCTCTGGCCGCAATTAAATCCATCCTTCTTGATTTAAGAAGTATTACTGGGCACTTCTAAACCCCTAAAGCCTCCTCACTGGCAGCCACCCCAAAACAAGCCAACTTGTCCCCTAAAGCCTACGAACAAGTGAGAGGAGGCAGGGCCACCCTACCAAACTGTCAATGGCGGGACTGAGTGAAGTCTACTATAACGAACTGACCCACTCTCAGCTGTGTGGCTGGTCTCTGAGTCTACCAAACCTGATCGTTCCGTTTCTTCACTGGTATACAGACCTTCCTAACTCCTAATTTCCAAAACTTCCTAATGAATTCTAGCTCTGTTTACTACACTCAGTTCACATTTTTCAAACCTGTTTCTTAAGACTTTCTCCGTTGGCTGGAGGCACTGGGTCACTTGAAATGAAGGTAATGCTTCTGCCGTAGAGAGGAGGCAGGGTCAGTGAGGGATTCTTGTCATGGAATGGGGGAGGATGAAAAGAATGGACCAGGCTCATGCTAAGCCATCTTCCATAGAGGACCCAGGAATTGTGGGAAAATCTTTCTTCTCCACTTCCCCTTCCTGCCCTTTGATAGCTTCCCCGCAATCTTAAATATAATTTAGAATATGTCTCTTCATCAGAGTCAAATCCAGGCACTGAGGGTATAGCTCAGTTGGTAGAATTGTTTGCTTTGAGCCCTAGGTTCCAGTTTAATATTGCACAAAGCTTGGCAGATGGCACGCGCCTGCAATCTTGGCACCCAAGGCGGGATACACAGCAGGGGGAGCAGGGAGTCACACTCATCTCTGGCTATATATTGTCTAAGGCCCTACTTCAGAAATCCAAGAAACAGAAGGGCAAGTTCAGAAAAGCAATGAGGCACAGCACGGAGGGTCAGATGAATTGTCCCAAACAGCAGGCTTCAAATCAAAGAGCAACTACGTTTTCTCACCCAAGAGAGTCAGTTCTCAGGAAACCAAGTGGACTGGAAAAGGACACTCGGAACCTCAGCCACCTCAGCCAGGCCTCTGAGCCACCAGCCCTAATGGGGCCTAGAGGGAGGTGTCGGATACACTTTGATCCAGGAGACATGTCAGAAGTTGAGGCAAGGTTCAAAGTGTCACCGTTACTACCTGGGAGGTGACGCTGGAAATATCCTCCCCATTCACCTGAGTTTTGAAGAGCAGCTGCCACAGGAAGCCCTCAACACTTGCCCTCATTGAACTTTGCCTTGATCATGCCTGGGGAATCCATTAGAAACCTGTTCCACTTGACATGAACCAAGACACAACCTTATGATTTTACTGTTGGGCTGGCAGCGTGGCCTCGCAGGCAGAGGTGCTTGCTACCAAGCCTGACAGTCTTAGTTCAATTCCCCATGTGGTAGAAAGAGAGAACTGACTCCCACTAGTTATACACAGACACACAGACACAGATACACACACACACAGAGTTATCTATTACATGTCATGCCCAAAACTGGTCCTACACCTCTTTCCTGCTCATGAAATGAGGAAAGCCCTTGTTACAATGAGCAAAGACAGAATCCAAAACAGGAAGCTTGCTAAGGACACACAAGACCATTGAAAGGGTGCTCTACCCTTATCTCTAAGGGCACCCTTCCCCTACCCGTGCTCTACCCTGTCTCTAAGTGGCTCAGTGAACTTGGCCCAAGAGTCACACTGACAACAAAGACACTGGTCAGCGCCAGACACGGCCCCTCAGGCCGGTGATCCCAGCATTTGGGAGGCAGAGGCAGAAGGATCCGGTGTTCACAGTCCCCAGTTACACACCAAGTGAGAGGTTGGTCTGGGTTATAGGAGAAGTCTCAGTTGAAACAACAACGGGAAGGGGATCAAAGAGTAAGGTACCACCAGTCTGGCAACGTAATTACCAGGACATGGGTTGGTTGGTTGTTACTATAGAGCTGCCTGCAAGCCGGCCAGCGGAAAAAGTCCCAGCATGCCGAGCCGCTTCCACCTCTGCCTTGTGTGGGGATGGGGGAGTGTATTCGGGTTCATGCATGTCTTGCTTCCTGGGTCCTTCTGCCCCTCCTTTCTCTCCGTCTCCAGCCTCGCTAGCCTCAGCCTGTCCCTCTCTCCTGTTATTTCCTCCGCCTTCCTCTCAACATGTGCACCCACTAAAACCCCACAGCCCTCATCCTTCTGGCTTATGTCCCCTGAAGTCAGTCCCCCACATTCATCAGGAATGCGGGTCGCTGTCTACCCCTCCCCTCTTACCAACTGGAGCTGTGGGGGTGGGGGCATCTCTCGTATGTTCCACTCCGGGGTGGGAAGGAGGGGACATATAGGTAAAGAGTAGCTCTAGAATCTTCCAGAACACATGATGTATTTGTGTGAGCGGGGGTGATTCCTTATAGTGTGAGTGGCCCACACTCTGACCTTCAGGCAAATCCTCTTAAGGCCTGGAACCAACCCCTTAGCAACTCCGCCCATATTCTTCATTGGGAAACTACTCCTGACTCAGGATGAGGGCCACACTCCTAAGGACACCTACCTCTAAGGGGACACGGACATGGGTCTTCCCATTCCAAAGAGCTGGTGCCCCAGCTTGTCCACACTAAAGGAATCCTCATGTCCTGCCCTTTTCACTGGTGGGTGCGTCTTTGATCCATGGATTTCACTGCCTACGAACACACTCGTTAACACTCACCAGTCTGAAAACCCATTCAGAGTAGTGTGTGGACAAACTATAGGCAAGGACTGAAATAAAAAACAAAGCAAAAAACAAACAAACACACACTTGGGTTCATGTTCAAAGATTGGGGAAACAGAACTACAGCCACCTGCGGATGCAGAAACACCACAGACAGGACAAGACCCTCTCGGGGAGCATTTGTTCCCATACTAGGTAGGAGAGAGTCATCAGCACAGTTGGCTGAAACCACCCTCCATTACTGACTAATATGGCATCCCACCAGTGACCATCTCTTGTACACAAGGTCATGCAATCAAAGTGTAACGCACCCATTTTACAGGTGAAGAAACTGAAGCTCAGAGGGGCTCAAGGTTAGTAACTGGCAGAACTCGCCAAGCCTTTGGCCTCCCCATGGTGGAGCAGTCATATACAAGTCTCCAGGCATGAGACAATCCATTTCCACAGAGGAGAGTGTCTGGGGAGACCCTTAAGACACACGCGGCTCATTTTTAAAGGACAGAGACATATGAAAATTTAACTGCAAAGTCATTTCCAGATGATGTCATTTCCAGAGCCCTTCTTTAGATGAGCCCCAATACATAAAGACAGGGTTCATTTAGGAGGAGGATTTTCAGAAACAAATGGACTCCCTGAGCTAGGTGGAGCAAAGTGTGCCAAGATGCTCTTACGGAAGTCAGAAGACAAAATCACTTCTCTCTTCCTGCCACTTGGGAACTGAACTCAAGTCATCAGGCTAAAGTGGCAAGTACCTTTACCTGCTGTCACTCGCCGGGCCGTCATGACAGCCCAGCAGGACAATTTTAAGTAGTGATGGCATGAGACAATAATAAATCAGAGACAGACACAGCATATGAGAGGATCAGCCTGAGAATCTACACATGTGCACACGCGGGCACACACATCCCCATCCCGCTCACGTGTGTGCAGGCTGCAGTCATGTATGCACATGCCTATAGCGGGCTCTGACCACAGTCACCTTGCCTCCTAAGGAAACGCCATGTAAATGAGAGCTAATGTGTACTGCTCTTCCACGGGACTCAAGTTTGGCTCCCGGCATCCACGTGAGGCAGACTGCCACCACTGTGACTCCAGTTCCAGGAGGCTCTGACACCTCTGGCCTCCGAGGACACTTGGCACTCATGTGCACACACACATACACGTATTTAAAAAGAAAATAAATCTTTACTGGGACAAGAGGTTCTCAGCCCAAAGCTCTTCAAGATTAAATGCTCAAAGAGATAGAAGGTGTAAACACAAACACACACACACACACACACACACACACCACACAAATCATCCTTTGCTGGGCTTAAGGTCAGCAAAATTGGGCACCATGGTACTAAGTGGCCTCCTCTTCCACTTTGTCTCAGAGATGCCCCTGCTCCTTCCTCCCTCTCCTTTGCCCTCCTCCTTTGCCAAAATCCTAGGTACTTGGAGCTGGGAGGTGGATGTGTCCCATAATCCTACGGGAATTCTAACTTAATTAAGAACGTCTACTTTTCGCTCTGACCTTTTATGTATCATTTTCTCTCTCTAATGTTAACATGTGGATGATCCTAAAGTTTTGATGATGTGTTTTGTTGTTTCCCCGCCCCTTCTTACCTTGGACTAAACCATTGCTCGCAGGGGGAAAGGGGGAAGAAGGGCTCTAGAGGGCCTAAAGGGGACAAGGGGGACCAAGGAGCACCTGGACTAGACGCCCCCTGCCCGCTGGTATGTTTTCCGTTTCTCGATCACATTGTTCTGAGTTTTTTTTTTCCACAGAGTTGCAGGTTGGAAACAAAGAAAGCCAAAAGCTCTGTGGGGCGGCGCTCCACAGATGCCACCAAGCCTGTCTATGCCTTGGCAGTCCTGCCTGCCGAGGCTGGGCCTCAGAGCCACAGCTGTGAGCCATTCTGCTAAATCTCTAGTCTTTGAGTCCCTGTCCTTTGAAGACTCAGAACAATGGATGGGTGGAAGGAAGGAAACCCACAGGGTGCAGGGTTCGGGTAGAAGGTCTCAGGCTCTGTCCCCAGCCCTAGTGTTTTATGGCACGCAGATTTGAGACCTTTGTTGCATGGGCCACCTTTGTGGCCTGCAGCTCCAGCTGTCCTGAATCCTCGCTCAGGTCAGGATGCAAAACCCAGGTTAGTCTCCTGAGTTCTATTCTGTGCAGAATAAAATCAGACAAGGGGCTTTTCATGCACTGCCCAGCTAAGCATGAACTAGTATGCCCATGATCTTACCATGCCCAGTAGCCCAGCTAAGACCCAGGAAGCTGCAGACCCAAAATCAGTAGATAGCCCCAAGCAGTCTTCTCAACAAGCCAGCAATTGATGACTGTGGCACATCAGCCTGGCTTCTCAAGGGACCTTTCAAAGCACTAGAAGCTCTGAAAGGCTTGCTGCTGTCAAGCTGGGGTTCTCTGTGGTTGTGCCCGGAAGGGATTGCAGTGCAGAAGATGGCCACGTTCTAGCGATGCACTTTCGCTTACATGTAATAGCCTCAGGGTCTGCATCCTGGCCAGGGTAGGACTGGGCCTGTCCCGCTCCACAGCTGGAGATGGCTGACTCTGACCTTAGTAATCACCGCGGTTGGTTTTATGAACAGGGCCACCGAGGTTTTAAAGGAGAGAAGGGGGAGCCGGGGCTACCAGGGCTGGACGGACTGGATGCCCCATGCCCACTGGTATGGTGTCTGCCCCCCACCCCCGCCACCTTGCCTGCGTGGCCAGTTTGGGCTACCCTACATGTGTGTGGTGTGCACTGTGTGCCTCCTGATCTTGCTCTTCTCTCCCAGCTTCTCCTTACTGCTTCTTCCTGACGGAGAGTCACCATGCCTAGCTCCCAGCCATGCCCTCTTGCATGCGATGTGCCCAGTGGCATTTTCTTGGCATCCTCCTGCAACTGCTTCTGAAGCACCACCCCATCATCCCGCCCACCCCAAAGCTAGTCCCAGCTGCATTTCATCCTCATTTCCTGATGACTGCTTCTAGAACATTCTGGAAGCTAGGGAAGTGAATGAGCTGGGCAGGTTTCTTAGAACTGACTGCTTTGCCTCCATACAGTGCACTTAGCCCTGAATATATAAGCTAAGCAAACTAACAGAACACAGGAGTGAGCTGCCAGTCACCTGCCTCCCCCACCCAGACCCAGACCCGCCCCACCCCATAGTTTGGTAGGGGACACGGGGTACGCTTCTGGATAGAGAAGTTCTATAATGAAGGTGGCGGGAGAGGCCACCCTGTCTATTCTTTTGGACTAGATCCCCTGTGTTGCTACCCAGGTGTCACCATCAGGACTAGATTATGGTCCAGCGTCAGATATTAGATGCTAAAGACCCAGAAGGCTCTACTTGGTGTGTTGTCCTTCATCCTAAGTTAGCTCACTATGAAGTGAGAAGTGGAAAGGTCTAAAATGTAGTTAGGTGGTATCCAGGTATCCCTGAGATGTCTGGAGCTAACACTCGAGCTGGTTTCCCCACACCTAGTCTTGCTCTGGATGGTGACTTCCTAAGTATCTACAGGATCCTCCCAACTCACTGTAAAAGAGAAGGCAACACCTGACCCTGCGGGCACGGGTCCAGACGCTCCCGCTTGCCTTCCATTTCCTCAGAGATTCGGGGGCTGCTGTCACCAACGAATTCCCAGCCTCAATCCCCACCCTATCACACAGGAATTGCCTTTGGGTGAAAGATGGCGGAAGAGAGTAAGGGTGATGATACAGTTCCTTGAAGGGCCACAGAGATGTCTTAGGTCACAAGCACAACAGAGCCAGCGCAGGTCACGTGCATGGAGTGGCAAGCCTGCTGACACAGCTGGCCCGCCTTCACGTACCCAGTGTGCATGGCTGCCTTTCTCAACCATGGCCCCCAAAACACTTCCATTAATTAAAAATGGGTCTTTCCTGGACTATGGTTGTGCCCCGCCCCAACCTTCACACCCCCACCCTCACCCTCTCAGTTCTGCAAAGCACCTTGGCTTTTCTGCTCTCTGCCTACTTTTCCACTGCGCCCTGCCACCATCCCTGTCCCGATGGAAATGCCTGCAAAGGCCCCACTCCTTCCCAGAGTTTGTGTGCAGTGTGCCTTACCGTGGTGATGGGGTGACTTGGCATGACATGGTGGACTACAAAGGAAACAGAGGCTCACCATGAAACTGAAATGCATGCCCCCTACAGAGTCCAGAGGGGACATAAATCATTTGACTATTCAAAATGATATCTTTTCCAATAATGTGTCCTTTGTCTTGGGCTGGCGGAAATGGGGTACCGGAGCTATTGACGTAACTTGAGCCCGTGCTAGGTTTCTTTGGGCTGGGGCAATAGCTGCAGCATGCTGGGGGATTGGGCGGTCCCCTGCTGGGTGGGTGAAGGAGACCCTAGAGACTATAATTATAGGATGGGGCAGAGACCTAGAACTCTGAGGCACCACCTGGCCCTCCCTGCCAGCCTGGCCTCTGGAAGATGCCTGGACTGCCTCGAGATGTGCTAGAAAGGCCAGAATGCCCAAGCTTTGTGAAGTTCCCTCACACAAGCAGTGCCCTGAGGCTATTGCTGCCTTGCCTCAGAGAACACATAGTCAATTCCCACCCTGATACTCTGTTTCCCTCCAGATTCTAGGACGTAACAGAGGCAGGGCCAGAAAGACAACTCCAAATCATGTTGCAATCCCCTCAAGGCTGTCTGTCCCTTACTACCCCGTTCCTGCCCACCACTGACCATTATCTGGGACTGTTTGGATGACACCTCTTGTCATTTAGGGAGAGAAACAAGCTAAGGCAGGCGGGGGGGCCACGGAAACACCATCTTGTCCCCGCCAGGTTTGCAAGGAAGGCCGGAAGCCCTACGTGCTGACTGGCCTAAGTTCTTAGCACTCCACCGAGTCCAAGCCGTGGGCATCTGTGCTGGCCAATCCCACAGGCCACAGTAGACCCTCTTAGCCTTGCCCTGCAGCTACACTTGGCATTAGCCGAAGGGAAAATGGTAGCATTTAAACGCTTCCCTCGTCTAAGATTCTGACCCAGAGCAGGAATACAAGCAGACAGCAGTGGGTAGGCCATGTCCCACCGAGGCTATAGAAATGTTTATGTCCTGGTCTGCTCAGACAACCATCTCAAGAGCCTACGTATTCTCTGCCTCCTTGCAGGGAGAAGATGGCTTACCAGTCCAAGGCTGTTGGAACAAGGTAAGATTCCCAGAGGGCCATGCAGCTTGGGGTCAAAGGTGTCATAAAGTTGGCAGTTTCCCACCTGCTTTCCTGCAGATGAGAAAGGAAGATGTGGGTGGGTCAAAAAAGGTGCTACCTCACCAGCGGTTGGCTGGTGGGCGGGAGCAAGGCATTAAACATCTCACCGCACACACCTGCAGGACACTTAGAACCATTTTAAGGGACTAGGTACATAGATCCATTGATGGAGTGTTTGCTTAGCAAAAGCCCTGGGTCTGATACGCAGCGCTGCATAAATCCTGCATAGCGATACGTGTACGGAATCTCAGTACCCGGCACCAAGATATCACCAGGTTTAAAATGCTGTTGTTTGCCATCATTAAAGCTGCCAGTCTAATACTATAGGGCTGTCCCTCTCAGCCACAGCTCCCAAGTCACAGGACTCCCCAGCCTAAGGGCAGACCCCTACCTCAGTCCTCAGCATGGTCTGCAACTACATGGTGGGCAGCTGTGCATGTATGCCATCTCCCTGCACCTCCCCTCCCCCTCCACATCTTCTCAGCCCCCACCATCAGTGACTAAAGTTATCAGTATGTCCTTATTGTAGAGTTCAAGACCCCGACCCGCACTCACAAGACTTTGTACTTAGCCAGTCCAGCCCTGTGCCTGTAACTCAGAATTGCACAGTGAGATGGCTCTGCACTTTGCGCCCCAACACTCAAAATCTTGTTGATGTACAAGTCTGGGGCAAGTAGGGAGACAAACAAGCCGTCAGGCCTGGACTGAACACCTAGCTACCAAAAGCACGTACAAGCCAAAGAAAGGAAAAATTCAGCATTGAAGAGGCCATTACTACCCCCAAGAATCTGTACTCACTCAGCACTTCATCCAAGAATTCATTAAATAAGACCCTCCCCTGTCCCCAAAGAAAGATACTCCTGGTAGGCAGGACATGGACCATTTTGAGCTTAGCAAGGGAGCCACAGCTGCTGTCCAGTGCTCCAGCATGTGGGAGGAACATCTAAAGCAGCCTAGGTCTGCTGGTTAACACCAGAAACGACTTCTGGGCAGATGTAGTGACTAGCATGGTTTCCAAGACAGCATAGAGAGACTGCCCTCTAGTGGCCAAAGGAGGGAGTAGCTTCAAGGTGAAAGTCGGAGGAGGTTTCCTTCCTAGGGGTGGGCGTGTCTGACATTCCAGATGAGGGTTTTCCTTCTAGTTACTTTAAAGTTCCACACTTCCCTATCAGAGGTTCTGAAGAACTGAAGACAAAGTCACCTCCTCTCCTTCATGGGAGTCGGCATTCAGGGTTCCTGAAACTAACTGTCGGTTCTGGTTTTGTTTTGCAGTGATGCCTCTAACCTCGGACTGGCCTGTGTGTGTTTGTATATAGGATATTTATTTTTATACAGTTTTCACCTTTTGAAAAATGCCCAAACTATGATGCATCTTGCAGATCATTAAAAGAGAAAGAAGAAAAGCCTGCATATTTTGTACAGGAAATAACCCCTTTCCCTTTTGTTTACAAGACATGTTTGTATAAATCTGTTTCTAATACACTTTCTGTCTGTGCGTCTGCTTCTAACGTTGCATGATATTTGTGCACACTTATTAAATATCACAGCTTAATAAATTATTGTGTTCCGGTGCCGAAGGGAGCTTGCCAGCCCAGAGGTGCTGCAAGCTTATGTGTGAATTCACAAAAACGTGGAGGTCCGTGGTGTTTGCCAGACTACATGTGTCTGACAATATTTTAAACTTTAACTGACTTTCATTATTATAAGAAAAAAATAAAAAGTGGCAATTCATGATCCTGGTTAATCTCTAAATTAAATCCATTCTGTCTTGTGCAAGCAGAAAATCTCAAAAGCAAGAACCCTCAGAAGTGTGAGGCAATATTGGGAAATTTTAGTTTCAACAAAAGGACTTGGTTAGGACATTTTCCGTATGTCGTGGCCCAATCTCACTTGAGCACTGAGAGTTCAGCAATACCGGGACCCAGGGGCTGCAAAGTGGACTTCAGGTTTGGGTAGGGCTTCCCATCATTTGTTTTGGTTCCTCTACCCCCTGTGCCCTCTGAACTATTTCTGTTTCTGTGGTAAAATACCATAACCCAGAGCGGCTTAGAGCAGCAAAGGGTTGATTTGGGCTAACAGCTCCCGAGGAAGAGAGTCCATCAAGTCAGGGAGCGACAGGAGCGGGAAGCTGTTCACATTTCATCCGTACACGGGACACAGAAGGAGAACAGAAAGTGGGGTAGGGCTACAAAACCTCAGAGCCCGCTCCAGTGAGGGACTTCCCTCAGCATGGCGCTACCTCCTAAAGGTTCCATAACCTCTCCAAACGGCGCCACCAACTGGAGATGAGGGTCTGGCCTATGGAGGACATGTCCCATTCAAACTTTGAGCTGTGTGTGATCTCTAGTAACAGCTGCTTTAGAGCACACCGTTGACTTCACAGACGTCCGCAGATCCAAGCACAGCTAGCTGTGGGAGGGGGCTTTGCCTCTCGTGACATTCTATTCTGGCTAAGGATAAATCACCCCCCCACACACACACACACCCACTAGATCTCAGCCGCATCGAGTTGCTTTCTTTTGTAGGAAATGGGGGTGGCTAGAAAGGTGACTCAGTGGCTTAGAGCGCCCCCACAGTGCACAACCATCTAGAACTCACATTCCAAGGCATCTGACCCCTCTTGTGACCACTGTGGGAACCAAGCATGTATGTACTCCCCATACATACATGCACATGTATGAGTACACAGAAAGTAAATGAGTGTTTTTACATTTCTCTTTAAAAGAAATGGAGCTGTTGGGCTTAAAGATGGATCTGTCGGTAAGGTGCCTGCCACACAAGCCCGTGTACCTGAGTTCAAACCCATGTTAAAAAGCTAAGTCTTGAGGTACATGCTTGGATGTCCAATGCTCAGATGTAGATCCCCTAGCCTTGTTAGCCAGCCAAGTAGCTTAGGCCAATCAGAAAGCCTCAGGCTGGTGAGAGACCCTGACTCAAAAAACAAGGTGGATGGGTCCCGAGGATCAGTGTCTGAGATTGTCTGCTGGTGCAACACATGTGTCCATACACACACATATATGCATATACATACATATATATACATGCACATACATATATAAAAGCATACATACATACACATATGTATATAGCCATATATACACAAATACACATAGAACACATATATGCACATATGTATATAAATATACACATACATATGTATATAGACATATACACAAATACACATACATATACAGACATACAGACATACATATATACACACAGATACACATATACAAATACATATACACAACATATATACATGCACATACATATGTAAATACATAAACATGTATATAGACATATATACACAAATATACATATACCTACAACATATATAGGCACATGTATATAAGTATATACATACATGTATGTATACAGACATATACACAAATACACATACATATACACACAGGTATACAAATACATATATAATATACATACATATGTGTACACATATACATATATGCACATATACATATGTATATAGACATATATACACATGCATACATATACACACAACATATACATGCACATACATATATAAATATACATATATACATACACATATGTATATAGACATATACACACAAATACATACACACACAAAAATAGAGCTGCCAAGAGGCTGAAGCAAAAGAATTAAAATCTAGGGCCAACTTGGGCTGCATAGTAAAACCCTGTTTCAAAAAGAGAGAGAGAGAGAAAGTTACATTGTTTTCCAATCATAGTGCCTGCTTGGTAAAGATCTCAGGAAACTGCTTCCTTATTATTTTTATTTTGTTGTCGTTTCTCCATTCTCATATCCGTGTGTAGTGTGTGCATATGTGCATGTTTGCATGTGTGTGGGTACACACGTGGGTGCCTGTGCACGTAGTAGGTGTGTGAGCATGTGGAGGCTCCAGGTGGATGTCGGGAATCATTTTTGATCCCTCCTCCCTCATATTCAAAGGCAGAGTCTCTCCATAGACTGCAGAGCTTCCCAATATGACTAGTTTCCGTAGCTAGGGTGCCCTAGGGAATCTCATGTCTCCGCTTTTTTCTGGGAGCCTTCATGTGTGTTCTGGGGACCTGAACTCAGAGCCTCACTCTTGCTCTGCAGATGCCTTAATCAGCTTCCAGCTGGTCTGATGAGCCCTCTCAGGATGGCCCCATGACCCCGCCCCAGCATCTTCCCCAGTGGCAGGGACTCTGGACACATTTTAATTTCATTGTGTTTACACTCTGCAGCGAAATGTAACAAAGACTCCAGCCAGCAACACATTCGTCTTTCTACCAGCAGCCACAAAATAGAACGTTCTACATTTTTATGGAGGAAGGAACCCACATAGCAAAAGTGCCCAGCCCTCCAAATTCAGACAGCCCATCTCGGCTTGTCCTTTATTGAAAATGGCCCTCACCCTGACTTGGGGGTTACCCAGTTCCAGCACCAACTTCCTCACTTTCTAGTGAAGACCTGGGAACTCAGAATGTCACCGGGTTCTCAAAAGGTCACTGTCTGAATGGAGTCACAGCTCAGCGATAACATCACCAGAATAAGAGTGGACCCACACAGGAATACACCCCTCCCATTGCCACTAATCAGAGCATTAGTGAGACTGGAGCCTGAGGATAGAGAATCTGAGGGTGACACCGATTACAGTCTCTTGTCTCAAAAATAAAAGAAATATATATAATATATTTACGAATATATTTTAATTATTTTGATTAAATAGCTTAATTTTAAGAAATATATATATAATTAAAACTAATAAAGAATTCTATTTAATTAAGATTAGAATAATTTAATTAATATAACTAATATAATATATAAATGAATATATAAAAATAACATTAAAAATAAATATATAAAGAAAATGGAACTATATGTAAAAGGGGTGGGGCAGGCGCTGTAGCTGAACCTCAAAACCCACCCCCACAGTGACGCACTTCCTCCAGCAAAGCCACGCCCACTCCAACAAAGTCACGCCTAACTAGTGCATAAGCACACTGCCTTTCCATGTCACTGTGCGCACGCGTGCGCGTACACACACAGACACACACACACCAGTGCCCCTTGGCTAGGAACCCCCTGATCACTCCCAGGCCACTGAACTGCACCTGAGCCCTGATTCCGAGCAGATGGGCACAGTCAGGAGAAGGGCGGATCTGGTTTCATGGAGACTCTGGCGTTCTGCAGGAGCCATCAGAAAAAGGTGATTTCAAGCCTAGGGTGTAGCTCAGTTGTAGAGCGCTTTGCCTAGGACGTGCAACTCTCTGGTGCCTTAGTTCCGGTTCTATTACTGTGAGGAGACACCGTGACCAAGGCAACTCCTATAAAGGAAAATATTTAATTGGCGCTGACTTACCGTTTCAGAGGTTCAGTCCATTACTATCATGGCAGGAAGCATGGCAGACATGATGCAGGAGGAGCTGAGAGTTCTACACTTTCATCTGAAGGCAGCCAGCAGGCGACCTGTCCTCCCACAGGGAGCCAGGACAGACTCTCTTACACTGGGTGGAGCTTGAGCTTAGGACCTCAAAACCCAGCCCCACAGTGACGCACTTCCTCCAACAAAGCCACGCCTACTCCAACAAGGTCACGCCTCCTAACTAGTGCCAATTCCCATGGTCCAAATCATATTTAAACCACCACTCCTGAGTTCAGTCTCTAGCTCTGTCTAAACCCAATCTGGTTGGTGCAGGACTGGAATCCTAGCGCTTGGGAGCATGGAGGCAGAAAAGGAACCCAGAAATTCAGGGTCATCATCAGCTATATAGTACATTTCAGAATAGCCTGGGCTACATGAGACCTTGTCCAAAAAAATGCAAGGAATGGGAAAAAGCAGCGTTTGAGGTGCTTACTCTCGGAGCTGAAGAGCAGCTCCAGCGGCTGCCTGCCCAGTGCCTTTGCTCTGTGCTCCCTCCGCCACAGTGGATATATTATCTGGAATCATCTACGTAGGCGCGACCGACCGTTTAACACAGTTCCTCGTGTTGTGGTGACCCGCAACCATAAAATTATTTAGTTGCTACTCCATAGCTATAGTTTTGCTACTGTTATGAATCGTAATGTATATATAGGATATGCAGGATATTTGATATGCGGTCCACGAAAGGGTTGTGACCCACAGGTTGAGAACCACTGGTCTATGTGGACCTGTACGGGAAGCTCCACATAGACCCAAGTGATCACACTCCCCATGACTGGTGACTTAAGCAGAAAGCTGAAAGAAGCCACGCCTTGCTCAAGGAATGGCTAGCCCCTCCCACATGCCCACCTGACCCCATCTCTGACTCATCCTGCATCCCACTCTTCCCAGCATCTTGAACGACAGATAGAACACGACAAGACAGTGACCTGACCCAGCTTATATGGACTGGCCCACAGACAAGGCTTCTGGTCCTTTAACCATTACTGTCCAGTCTTGAGTAGCTCTAAGCCATGATAAGTCCACGTTTCAGATGAGGAAGTTAAGTTTGGGTGATCTCTAGTGATTCTGTCATATCTGACAGCCCAGAGCCCTCAGATTCCACTTCTGGGTTAGCCCGGGGGTGGGGGTGACTGTAGACCCTGGGCATCCTGTGTTCCCCACTGCCTGGAGTCCTTTTGGCTGCAGCAGCATCATGCATGGAGCCGGCTTTGCAAGCTTGAGGTATGCCTGTGTTCTTAACCCTGGGTAGGGACAGGCCACTGTGGAAGGCACAGCCCCATTCTCCAGGTGGTAAGGACAGTCATCAAGGCAAGAGCACAT